GGTCAACTAGCCAACCCCTTTACAAATTAATTGTTTTTGTGGGGGGAGGGGTTGCTCTGCACTCCCTCCATCACCACCTCCCATTCGCAAAATCTTTCTGGGGATCTCAAGTTACCTCAGCCTCTGAGATTCTTATACCCCCACATGACCTCTCTCTAGCTTTGACGTCACTCTAACTTTTTTTTTGGGTACTGCCTCCTTATTTTGCTCCATAACTTCCTTCTCCATATCTTCCTTCTTCTGCTCCTCATCTTACTCCTCTGTCTTATCCGAAACCTTTATTCTGCCCCCTACTTTCTCCTTTTCCTCTACATACTCCTTCTGTCTCGTCTTTCTCCTTCTAATTCAAATCCGCGCATGGCTGATATGTAGAAACATTGACCTGACCTTGGCTTCCCTGTCAGCCCAGCCTAGAACGCGTGCCAGGAAATAACATGGGAGGCAAAGGGGGTTGGTATGATGTTGACCCCCATTATTCATCGAAAGCTGATTGGTCTACACATGAGTCTACCATCACAGACTGGATGCACCACTGGCGGGAAATGTGTTCTTGACTATTACTGTCACTTGACTGTTACTGTCACTTGACTGTTACTGTCACTTGATTGTTACTGTCACTTGATTGTTACTGTCACTTGACTGTTACTGTCACTTGACTGTTACTGTCACTTGATTGTTACTGTCACTTGACTGTTACTGTCACTTGACTGTTACTGTCACTTGATTGTTACTGTCACTTGATTGTTACTGTCACTTGATTGTTACTGTCACTTGATTGTTACTGTCACTTGATTGTTACTGTCACTTGATTGTTACTGTCACTTGATTGTTACTGTCACTTGATTGTTACTGTCACTTGATTGTTACTGTCACTTGACTGTTACTGTCACTTGATTGTTACTGTCACTTGATTGTTACTGTCACTTGACTGTTACTGTCACTTTATTGTTACTGTCACTTGACTGTTACTGTCACTTGACTGTTACTGTCACTTGACTGTTACTGTCACTTGTCTGTTACTGTCACTTGATTGTTACTGTCACTTGACTGTTACTGTCACTTGACTGTTACTGTCACTTGATTGTTACTGTCACTTGACTGTTACTGTCACTTGATTGTTACTGTCACTTGACAAATAGTGCACAATTGACGCCTAGCTTTATTGCTTATGATAGTAAATCCATAATTGCAACACATCGGATTTGATTCTGCTGCAAGAGACTTACATGATGTTACTCGGTAAACATCGGTTGGTCCCATTCGTAATCGGTCCTCTGATGCAGCAGCCAAACCAGTGACTCTATGACCACTGTACCCAGTAGAAGTTGACTGCCAGATTTTCTTTCTTTGATACGGACTATTCATTTATGAAAAAGAAACAAGTTCTGTATCCAGGTTTTTCTTGGTCTGCCTCTTCTCTTCCTCCCCTTTACTGAGTCCTGCTGTATTGTTTTGACATATCCATACCACTGCACTGTCTGCTGTCCACCTTTTGCCTGTGGATGAAAGAGGTTCCTAGTTGCCAATGCGCTGAGTAATTATCTGGTGAACCTCGTCATTTGTGATATGGTCTCTCTATGTTATGCCGAGACTTTTTCCCCCTGAAAGACCACATCTCCAATGCTTGTATCTTCTTTTCGAGTTCAGCTGTTAAGGTACACGTTTCATAGCCATACGTAAATATACTAATTGCTAGTGCCCTTAACAGCTAAAGCTTTGTTTTACATGAAATATTTTGGATCTCCATAATATCTGCACTTCGGAAAGGACTGATGTCTAGGCACTTCTAGACATGATTTCTGGCTTGTATCCTAGGTCGCTTAAAATGGATCCTAGATGTTTGAAATGACTGACTTGTTTAAATTTGTGTCCTCTGACGAATATTTGTTAGTTATACCGGCCGGAATGTTAGTAACTGCTTTACAGTCTTTTCTACGTTTATTTCCATGGCAGACTCGATTGATGTTTCATCAAGCAAGTTTACAAATTCAACCTGCTTGTGTTCTACCCCGACCAACCCCGCCAATGTCCTCTGCAAACCTTAACTTTGTTTTGATTCATTCTCCTATACTGAGTGTTCCGTGATAGTTTTCTACGGCGTCAGTCATAATTCTTTCAAAGAAGATATAAAACAGTGTTAGATGAGGCAGCCCTCTCGGACTCCTACTGTTGTTCGGAAGCAGCTCCCTTCCTATTTGTCCGTTCAACGTGACAGCACTACTGGCTTGGGCATAAAGCTATTCTATACTACCTAAGAGGAAAGAAAAATTAAAAACAGCAACATTTTTTCCCTTTGTGACTGCATGTCAGTCCTCCAGATGACTCAGAGGGATCCACGAAGCAACACGGAGAGAGAACTGACCCGTCAGCTAAAGAGACACAGAAAACAATCAAAACATTCTCCAGTGGATCCCGGCTCATTGCGGCATACCAGGAAATGAGTTAGCAGACAGACTTACAAACAATGGAGCCAAGGAGAAATAACATAATTGTCATTTCCCAGAAATCAGAACACTTTTCACTTATTGTGGAAAGAACAAACTAACAGTAATCGTCCACAAGACCACATCAGCAGACTCAACAGAAAGCAACATACACCAATTTTTCTGTCTACGAACAGGACACTGCAGGCTCAGTTACCACATGTATAAAATAAAGATTGTACAGTCCCCACAATGTGCCTGTCAAACAGGACCACAGACACCTGAGCACATTCTGCAGACCTGCCCACTCAACTTAAAACTATGAAGAGAAACCTGGCCTCAGGAGCAAAGTGTGCAAAACTTTTACGTTTAAAAAAGAAAACTGTATCCCAGAGTGCTGCATGTCATACTCTGTCAAATGTATTTTTGAAATCAATAAACAGTAAAGATGCTTTTGGTGCTGGTAGTGGTATTGCTCTGATAATATGCAGAGATGAAATATATGCTTAACTATGCTTCTTCCAGCATGGAAACACGCCTGTTCCTCTGCTCTGATTCCTCTTGCTTGTGCCTTTAGTCTGGTTAAGAGTACCTAGAGCATGACTTTAATGGGGTAACTGGTGACTTATGGTCCTATAGATTTGACATTGTAAATCTTCTTAGGGGGAGGGAGGTTGTGAGAAGGAGGTTGTTAATGATGAGAGATGTTGTCTAAAGAGATTGCTACTGACCAGTCTCTCAAATTTTGTTACATATTTCAGTGAGGTTGCGTAGCTTGCGTTAATGTCATATTGCGTTTCTGTAGTGTCTCAGGTACAAATTACGGAAACCCCGCTCAGGCGTAGGTAGGTATTTTGCTGGAAAAGAAAAATCGTCATGTTCAACTAGCATCTACAAAGGGGGTGCTCTAGGTTATAATTGTGACTAGGTTATGTGTGCCTTATAAAATGGCTTTGCAAATCTCCTAGAGCCCCTATATATGATAAGTGGGCTCTACTGGCAAATTTGGCCGGTAAGCTGGACTGCTTCGGCCGGCTTAGCGGGGCTAAGTGGGAGTTATGTCCCTTCGCCAAACTCAAAACAAGTCGCGGAAAAAGTCACGAATCAAATGACATACTTACCTATCATCATCCGGGTGCGTGTAGGGTTGCGTCTAGGGTTACCTATCATCATACGGTTGCGCGTAGGGCTGCGTAGGGTGTCTATCATCATCATACGGTTGCGTGTAGGGATGCGTAGGGTGTCTATCATCATCATCATACGGTTGCGAAGGGTTTGGGTTATCGGTATGGCTAGGGATGTGGGTTAGGGTTAGGGGTAGGGTTAGGGTTAGGGGGTAGGGTTAGGGGTAGGGGGTAGGGGTAGGGTTAGGGTTAGATGATGTGAAAATATTCACGTAGGAGGTGGAAATACTGGCCGACAATCTGATGCTTGTGGGAGTGGCACCCCAAATATGACGGCAATAGCGCGCGGCTGATGCCCAGTCGGTGGCGAATTGTCCGTGTCAGTAGAACCCACCGTCCGTCGACTGTTTGCGCGTGCATGCGACTGTGCGCGATTGTAGGGACCTACGGCGTCACAATTGTCACATCTAACGCTACACCTAACCCTAAACCCTACCCCTAAAAGCTAACCCTAACCCCTAACTCTACCCCTCATCTATCTTACGCAAACAACCAACCCTACACGCAATAAGCAGCCCTTCACGCAACCGTAGGACGATGATAGACACCCTACGCAACCCTACACGTACCGGATGATGATAGGTAAGTATGCCGTTTGATTCGTGACTTTTTCCGCAACTTGTTTTGAGTTTGGCCAAGGGACATAACTCCCACTAAGCCCCGCTAAGCCGGCCGAAGCAGTATAGCTTACCGGCCAAATTTACCAGTAGAGCCGATAAGTGTCTATAACTCTCCGTCCTTTTTAGGACGTAATTTTTTGTTATTTGAAGCCCCACCCTGGCTTTTGCCAGGGGCCGCAATATAGGCAGGCCTTAAATATGGCCAATTGTCTGAACGCGGTTTCTGGGACCCCTTCACGGCGATCCTCATCCACATGGTGGCACTTTGTGTCATCGGGTGTTTATCGCTTGTGTGATGTCCTGGTGGGGTAGAAAGTCCGTCCGTCCTAGAGCCCCGAAAAGGACTCCTGATCCTGCAGTGTTGATGCGAACAAGGAGACGGACCAGAATATTGTCCCGACAGGCGACGAAGTCGTCTACAGGTGAGCCAATGGACAACACTGTCGCCGATGTTCGTTCAAACGTATAGTAATATAACACAATCATTTATGTGCATCAGAAAACGGTTGTGAAGTACTTTGTCCGGTGATGTTGAAGATTCCAAAGTACAGTATATTCATGTAGTTGCCCTATATCAGCAGAAAGTAACCGATAACCTACTAAGAGCTGACATTATGAGAACCTCTTCCAACGAGAGCTCCCTCTCTAGCAGAAGTCGGAAGCCGGATAGAAATGTTTGTTCAGTCAGTAACTAAACTACAGCAGTAGCCCCGCCGGGCAAACATTTGATTTACCACCTCCAACGCAACGCACCAACCATTGGACGTTACAGAATGGTTTCCGACGATCTTATCTATGGATTTGTTGCTGTCGCATCTGTGGGTGCAGGGTGTATATTCAGAGATGTCTTGAGAGATTGTACGTCAAGACGATGGCTGGCCACAATCCTGGGACTTACTCTTCTCTGGCTGATCTGCGGATACCACATGATCCACCTGTTAATTACCGTTACAGGAAACTGCTTGTTGCTGAGAGTCATTGCACCAACACAAGATGAAAGGTCTCTTTTAAAAGAATCGGGGAAGGAATAAGAGTAATGCTAGTACTAGTAGTGGCCCTAAGTAGAGGAAGTAGTAGCCGAATGTTTACGTCTGTAGTTTAGGCAAACAAAACTTCGCAATTCCAAATACCCGGTTTGATTCAGCTGCAGGCGATTTGGCAGCGGGGCTCTTTGCATTGATTTCGTATTGAGTATTTGTAAAATTACTTAGTAAAATCATAAACAGCAGAAGATGCTCGGGTTGTTTCTGCAACGTCCTATAAAGGACACATGGCTAACTGTAGTAGACTAGTTAGTAGCAGTAGCAGCAGCAGCAGCCTATCCTCCGAATAACGGTCCCAAATTATCGAGGCCGAAAATATACCCTATCAGGGGCAGTCAGTCACATGTAAATTGCTGACCTCTTTCGAGCGACTGCACAACAGGAAAAGCTTCCGCCAAGTTTAAGTAACCGCCGAGAGTATTTCCCGCACCGCTATGTGCGGCGCTGAGTGGGGATAAACTAGATGACTTTTAGTAACTGAAATTGACCAGATGGTAAACGATTGGACATTACAAAACTTAGCGACGAAAAAAGGCAATAGAATAAGGAAATTCTTGCTTAGTCTGGCAAAGTATTCAAGTCATCTTTATTTTAACATTCTGTATAATGGTTCTCCTGAACCTCCAGCCTCTAAATCTTAGTAGAATATTCTTGTTTAGAATAGTTCTGTTGTTTTTTAAGTTATCTCAACATTATTATCATAATTATTTAAACAGTCAACTTAAAAGATATTACTAATATATCTAGTGTCAATATATATTCCACTTATAACCCTAATGGATTGATCAAGATATTGTTATTAAAATTACTGCTACTAAATGAATACACATTTTTCTGACTGTTACTTTAGGTTGTAAATGTGTTACTTTGACCAACGCTTAAAAAAAAGCTTAGATTAGAAGAGAGTCAAAATAGCACGATGGCTACTTGCCTGCTAGACTGATAGTTAAGTGTTTAGATCACTTTTGAGGGGATTTTGTCAATTGATATGGACTCCTGTGTTGACCCAGTCTTAAATACCCATTATGCCCCATGTCATGAAAAGAGGTCTTTTTCTTTTCTTATGCCTTACCAATACGCAAACAGACATAGATACAATAACAACCAATACTACACAGAAGCACTTATCTGTTAGTTGAGGGCTGCCACAGAAATATCTCCAGTATGCCTGGACGGTGGACACTGAGTCGAAATATGTGTTGCAGGAAGAGGGTACTGGACATGAAGAGAGCTAGCGTTGGTGGGTTACGACAAAGGAAGTAATTTAAACACTTTAGATAAAGCTGTGTTGAAAATTATGGCCCTTTAATGAGATACAGCTTATTCGACAGATAAGATGACACTGTCCATGAAATTTCCCATGAAAGTCTTCCATGAAGATGACAATTGTCTTATGATGTGAGAAATGGGGGTAATTACTGTATGGGTTTTTAAAAAAATGCCTATAACTGCCTTTATTACCTCTTATGTGGTGAAGTCAGGGGAGTCTTTGAGCCTGAGGATCTACGGTCGCATGGCTAGTGCTGTCGCCACGACTGTGCAGGTGAGGATTTTATTCTGCCCCCGGCAAAAAAAAATCCCCAGCCTTACCGAGGATTCGAACCCAGGTCTCCCTCTTGAGATCCCAGCGTTCCAACAGTTCGCCCAGCCGCTTCTCATCAAAGGGTAAACATTGTAAAAATTGTATATAAATCCATAAATGAGATACTCTATTTGTTAAATTAATTGCATGTCTTTACCACCATTATTTCATAGATATTTACCTGGCGCAAGTTTTATATGGAACTTTGGGTACCTGGCTGTGTTCCGAACTGTTCACTGGTTTGGTATTCCAGCCCCATCACCTGTTACAAATGCGGCCCAGTTATTTTTAGCTCTAAGGGTTGGTATATTAATTTGTCTTAATTATAAATATTCTGTTAAATTTGTTACAGTGTTTGTTTACATGGTTGATATCACTGTAATTCCACTAGACCAGGGCTTTCTTCCTGTTGGTACGCAGTAGTTTGTAACACCGGCACCGTTTTCAATCATAATTGTTTTCAGAGCTGTTGTAATAGATACTGTGGGATGAGTACTAGCACCTTTTTTCTACACTTTATGGTAGTATTGACACTTTTCATACACTTTATGGTGAGTACTAGCACCTTTTTTGTACACTTTATGGTGAATACTAGCACCTTTTTTGTACACTTCATGGTGAGTACTAGCACCTTTTTTGTACACTTTATGGTGAGTACTAGCACCTTTTTTTCTACACTTTATGGTGAGTACTAGCACCTTTTTTCTACACTTTATGGTGAGTACTGGCGCTGGGGTGGGAAGTGTGGAACATTCATATATTCTAAGCTATACCTAATGATGTGGAGTGACCAGATGCCTTTTCATTGCAACTCCATCCCAGGGAACACGTTCCTTGTTGGTTGATACTGTGGGCTCTACCTAGGCCGTTGTACTGGCATCGCTACAGGTGTTCAGTAAATAATTATCTTATCACAATCAACGTCTTTGCACATTGGGCATCCCCATGCGTGCTGAGTCCTCACATGCAGCAGCCACTCCAAGGTACTTCTGCTGATTGTTCCTGTTGAGGAGTTGGTTATAGTATCTCCTGTCTTTACCTTGAAGATGGTATAGACTTGCTTCACCAAGCTTAAATCCTCAGTCACACAGTTGTGTTAGCATCAGAGATTCACTATTATCCCCCAACCTAGTCTGTACAGCTGATGATATCAGCTCTGTCCGTGCTTCTTCCCTCCGTCTGCACTGGTGCATTGCTTGCCAGCTGGTCAGCTCTTTTATTACCATTTACTCTTATGTACCCAGGTGTGTAGATCCAGATGATGGAGGTTAACTGCGACTTTCAAATACTTTCTACCAATTTAGATCGTAGACTACCTGTAGCGATTTTCTGAAGCATGTTCACAGAGCCTGAGACGATTACCGCATGTGTGGCCGCTTGTTCTGCTACCTATGTGAGTTCTCTGGAAGCAATGTTATCCCCATGGTCATGCTTGACGTAGTTGTCTGGTAAGTGCCTCTATCCTCTTTTATTGTTTTCCCCATCTTTTGTGCTGTATATGCCCATGCTGATCTTGACCCGCGCCTCATGGCCCCCATCTGTTTAAATGATGACGTCTTCTGGGTGTGAATGCTGATCAGTCAGTGCCCTAATCTCATAAGTTTAAAACTGTCATTAGAAAACGTTTCAATCCTGTTTCCAGGTTTTCTGTGTTATTGTTTATATCATGTTTTCAGATGGTTGGTTTAGCTTTTGAGATTCAAGACAGCTATTTAAGAAAAGTGGCCAGCTCTGACAAAGACAGTTTGGGGAGCAAAGATGTTGATCTGAAGATAAAATACTGCAACATAAATGTCAACAGTCTGGCTGTGGTCCATTACGCTTTCTGTTATATAGGACTACTGACAGGTGAGAATGTCCTGTTGAAATCACATTTATTTTAATTATATTTAAATGGGACTCTGCTGTGATGTAGCGGCTAGATGCTTACCTGAATAAAGCCAGATTTTTTTAATCCATGACCTTGGCTGACAAGATGACCCAGCCTCAAATGGGTACCAGGTAAAGCCCTGGAAAGTGAAGATGGCCAGTGTTGACTACATCACTCATCAGAGGCCGAGTGGTCTACAAACATATGAGTCTAGCATCCTGTACTTGATGCCCCACTGACACATAAAGAGACATGTACTGTACTATATCTAAATGGTTGTCCTAGAACGACAAGAAGTTTTGATTCAGGTGGAAAGTATCGCTTTCATTGCACCAGGTTTTATCCCAAATGGCTCAGACTCTCTCTCTCTCTCTCTCTGCCGAACGGCTAGCCACCTACAGAAAGTGTAACACAAAGCATGAAATTCATAGCTCCAACGACACTCACATTGATTTCTGTAAAATTTGCACCATGAACTAAACGATGCATGTATGAAATGAACTTATAATCTTTGGAGCGGGAGGAAAATAGCTTGACCACTTTGCCCCCTCCCTATAGAACTGTATAACACAAACATGTGGAAAGATGGAAGAGTGTTAAACAACTATAGTTGATTACAAAAATGATCTTCCTGTACCTAGATTTCACTTTCCTATACACAGATATCACTATAAAGTTGATTACAAAAATGATAATCCTACACACAGATTTCACTATACACATGTGTTATATACATACATATACTAGGCTGTGGAATTAGTGGTGTGATGCCAGTTGTCTTTCTTGCCACCATTTCCTTGGTCAGCACACAGCAAGGTCAACTGGACAGTATGCTAGAGTCTCATGCATCAAGGTTGTTGAACTGGTCATTCTGGTCCTAGCTGATGGGACGTTCAAAAGCTGCCTAACTACGGCACACTAGCAGTGTGTTAAATAACATATTGGTTGGTAGCCTTTCTCAATGAGCATTTGGTTGGAGTCCCTGGAAAATGAAACATCTGTAGAGAAACAGTTGCCAACCCTAACCTGATTCTAGCAAGCACACATGTACATATCTGCTGGGCGGAATCCTCATTTGGCCAAGCAACTTGCCTCTGCAGATTTTCTCCAGGGGTATGGATGTGTGGTGGGAGACAGCCAGGAAGAATGGTTGGTTCTGCACCATGTAAATCGATGTGTGACAAGCTAGATGCGGTCAGAGCATTTTTGGAGCAAGTAAACCATGTAGAAGCACAAACACATTATCATGGTTTGCAAAAAATAGTGCACTGGGCAGTAGCCGGTGGAGGATCTGTTCGGCAACCATCACTCAGAGGAAAGACAAAATGGACATACAATCAGACTGCCAGTGGTACCATCGGAGTGGCAACTCTGTGCTGGCTGCTTGAAATGGGAACTGATTGCTGTGATGTTGGTTCTTACATGAACTTATTAGGTAAACTTTACATTTGTAAGGTTCAAATTCTAATCATGCACATCTTTCTGGTTCTTGGGCATGGAGAAAAAATGAGAGCTCAGCAGCACAGTTTCTGGAGATATGATATTTTAATACTATTGGGAGAACAGTCTCTACACCATTTGACCCTAGTTGAGCCCGATGATTTGAACACCAGTGCGTCAAAGTTTAACACATTTGTATCTATTGAATCTGAGGGAGACTGAGTACCTATGGGTTTGTGGCAGTTCAGTAGGATTGTTTCTGTTAACCACTTCTGGCAGTTCAGTTTTTGGTCAGTGCAGAAGAGGAAGAAAAATCAATTCCAGCATAGATTAAACATTTTAAAAAAAAAAATTAAGGAATGAACTTATTACTTTTTACATGCGTGTAGGTCCATACTACAAGTATCGTACATATGAAGACTGGCTGAAGCTGTCAGACAAAGTGAACCTGAATCGACTGCAGCCTCTCATCAAGCGAGGGAAGGAGCTGCCATTTATAGCTGTCAGCTATTTATTCTTTTCATATTTCTTTAACATTAAGGTAAGACAGACCTTAATGTTTCTGTCTTCTTGTAAGTCTCAACAGTCTGTCAGCTGGTGTGTTTGGTTGTGTGAATCTGTTAGGTTTGAATTCTCACACAGTTTCATATCAGAATTTTCCCTGTGGGGTCCCGGGTCCCCATTTAGGAGAAAATAAGAATAGACCGATTGCTTGCCTAACAAGCGTGTCTTAAAAGGAAAGCGACTAATTAAGGTTGTTTCCTTTAAAGTCTGAGTGCATCCACCTGAGAGGAACCAACAGTCGGCATAGAATTAAGCCAGATCTGTCAAATGAATGTGCACACAAAACTCAGATTCTGAAATCAGACCGAAGTCCAGAAGTGGATGAACAACCAGAACTTTCTGCTGAAGACATTACAATGAAAACCCAGTTTTACTATGACGAAACAAAGGCACCTAGAACCGCATAGTGAAAGGGTCTTTAAGTGACTTCCAATAGCCCATGCTGTGTGACGTTGGTAGTCTATTCACAACCTTCTACCTCAAGTGCTTTCAGTCATTTCCTACACACAGGATCTTCCATACCATGATGTCAAAATGTTCAGCATCTTATGTCTCTCTTTTCCCTTCTAGCTTTTCCTTTGTCAAGATGTACTCCATTTGTCTCCTTTTCATGAGATGATCAAAGAATGTAGATTGTCTCCTTCTGATGTGGGCAATCAGTTCTCTTCTTGAGTCAGTTGTCAGTTTCTTTCAAGACATCTTCATTACTCTTTTTATATGTCCAGGGTATTTTTATCAGTCACTTAAAAAACTAGATCTCCACTGCTTGCATATAATTTTTAACTATTCGGCCAGCTGTCCATGATTTACTTCCATTTATCATGGTTAGGTTTTATATAGCTCTTGAACATTTTCCTTCTCATCTTAGTCGACTAAAAGATATTGCATATAAAATTCTTCATTTTGTGAAATGCTGCCACTGGTTTGGTCTTTTTATGTGGCCCATGCTGATCAGCATAGCACATGATGATGATGATTTGTGTCTTCATTATGTAAATTCACTACAGGAAGATGTGATTAAATTCTGCTGAGTTTTTAGAAATTCCTCCTGTTACTTAAGAAAGCTGCAGTGAGGCTGTAGCTAGTACACTAGCTTGCTGGTCTAGTGGTTATGGGCTCCAACATCCATCGAGGCAGATCGCTAACATTTACATGGGTTGCCAGATCAGTCCATGTTAACATTTACCTGGGTTGCCAGATCAGTCCATGTTAACATTTTCCTCGGTTGCCAGATCAGTCCATGTTAATATTTACCTGGGTTGCCAGATCAGTCCATGTTAACATTTTCCTCAGTTGCCAGATCAGTCCATGTTAACATTTTCCTCGGTTGCCAGATCAGTCCATGTTAATATTTACCTGGGTTGCCAGATCAGTCCATGTTAACAATTACCTGGGTTGCCAGATCAGTCCATGTTAACATTTACCTGGGTTGCCAGATCAGTCCACGTTAACATTTACATGGGTTGCCAGATCAGTCCATGTTAACATTTACATGGGTTGCCAGATCAGTCCATGTTAACATTTACCTGGGTTGCCAGATCAGTCCACGTTAACATTTACATGGGTTGCCAGATCAGTCCATGTTAACATTTACATGGGTTGCCAGATCAGTCCATGTTAACATTTACATGGGTTGCCAGATCAGTCCATGTTAACATTTACATGGGTTGCCAGATCAGGCCAGCCTGAAATGGATACTGGAAAAACATTCTGGGAAGCAAAAGTGGCTAGTGCAATAATGACCACATTAGCCACCGAGTACCAGCAGGTCTATAACAAATATGTGTATGTGCTTTATGCTGTGGAAATAAGACCTTTACTCTGTTTTTGTTACTTACTGAAGACAGTTTGTAACCATGGAAATGAAATGTATGGAGTGAGCTAAAGAGATAAAATCAGAAAATAGGTCATCGAAGAAAAGTAGCCCATAAACTAATTGTAATTACCAAGATAGCAAATCAATTGGTTTGTCCACTTGGAGAATGTTTTGTGGTGCCATACCATAAAAGGCATACATCAAAAGAGGAGATGGATGAATATCACGAGGTCGACCAAGAAGAAGATGGAGAGATAACATGAGAGAAACGCTACAACAGCACGTTTGTCTATGGTCAGGGCGGCTAGAAAAGCAAAGGAAGTAGAACCTTATATCTGTCTCCACTCGACACCTGAAGTGGTAACAAGGCAAGTAAAGAAGAAGAAAGTTTACTCTCTGATATTTTGTTGTAAATGATTGATGCTGGACATTTCCATCTTCAGGATGTTGAAACTGAGGAATTTCTGGACAGATCCTTCCTGTACCGTCTGCTCTACATGGTGCCCATGTTTATCATCTTTCGAACCCGCTTGTACATGGCCTGGATCATGTCTGAGTGTATGTGTTTCACTGCGGGACTAGGGGCCTATCCCGACAAGTCCAGCCCCAGGTGTGGAGAGGGGCCCACTGACTACAAGCAGCTAGATATTGTGTGAGTAATGTAGTATTTTACCATGTTTTGTGGTTCGTTGCTTGGTTCATGATTGATTTTATATTGATTGTTGATGCAGTGTTGTATTAGTGGTTTTCTGTTACAGTGCAGAATCTCTTTAAAGGACTATTGTCGGACTTTTGAAGCATTTTATCATTTAGTAAAACTCAAGACTGCCCTTTTGAGCCAGTCTGTCATTCGGTATCAGCTAACTTCATGCACATTTGTACCGGTATGTAGTTTAGTAAGACTGGAGATTTTTCACACATGAACTAATTTTTTTATTAACCATAGGTAGGGGGGGGGGGGTGAACATTTGAACTGATTTGTTATTTAGCAGGGACCTGTCTTCACTGGACGTCATTGACCAATGATTTGGGTGTGTGCTGAGTGTCAGGTGTTTTCCCACATTTTGTATATAGTCACTGAAACACAGGGGTGGGGGTCCACTGTTTCTAAGATCCTTGCCGATTCAGTTCAAACCTTACTGACCTGAACTTTTTCATTGCTTTGATCTAAATCACCACACAGTATGCACGCTGTAAGTGCTCTGAAACATGGAGACATTTTCTGACCCGTGAATGTTTGCAATAAAAGCCATGTTATATAACTTACATACATTATTTCTTTAGTTATTACACTGATGTTTCTCCTGTTGATTTGGCATCGTTGTCTTGATTTCTGTGTGACTGTTAGGTAAATCATAAAATGACATGAACAGGCTGAAGTCAGCTCTACAACGCACACCCCATGTTTTCTTGTGACTGGAATCCCATATCTGTTTACTGAATGATTCTGTGAGCATGATCCAGCGGGTCGAGGCAGGCTTCTTATTCAGGTCCATCATAGAGTTACCTTCATCTTTTCTCCAGGGCTTGTGAGTGTTATTGGTAATGAAAAAGCTGATAGATCGGCTGACTCTACCATAGTTGCAGATGGCCAGTCTATGGATCATGCTGACATTGTTAATTCTTTTAGAAATAGGGGGGATCAGAGGCTATTGGGAGCAGTGCATCTATACTGATGCTAAATTTGCAAGAATTGGAAGTAAAGATCGGCACAGCCAGGCAAAGAGGCATACCATAGATACCAGAATACTTGTAAACCAGCATGGGACTGGCACAATTAACCATGAAATGCTGATGTATATATTGAAGGGGAGAATGTGAGCACCTGTGGACATGTCCAGAGTGCTCTGGGGTTAACTCACCTCTACAAGATGTGATATTTATGCCTTGGGTAATGAACTACTGATCTAGAATCAGTTCATAAATAGACATTTCTGTGTACAGGCTTGAGGAAGAACGCAACAATAAAACCATCGACTACAATTTTGAGACTATCCACAATATTGATATTTATGGATGCGAACTTGCTCCCACGACCAAACAGGGGCTGCGGAGTTGGAACATGACAGTCCAGTACTGGCTTGCAAATTACATTCACCGTAGAGTTCCTCCAAGTCTGAAGGCATACAGGTAAATTAGAGTATTTCTAAATTCTTTAGCTGCAACATTGTTTAATTACACAGTGTCGGAGTTTAGGTGATGACATTGTCATTTTCACACAGTGGGTTTTCATAAAGATGTCCTTTCAGTTCGATTTAACCCTTGCCCTTTCAGAACCAGAGGTAGATGCCATATCTCTGTGCTGTCTTGAGTACAGGGCTAAAGTGACAAGGTTGTAGTCAATGTTTGACAACTTCTACCCTCTATGGTTGCATTTGTTATAGTATTATCTTGATATTTTTTTCAACTGAAGTAATTATATATAATCTTATCTGCTGTATATTTACCTTTACATGTTTTGCAACAGACCCACTCCACAACCACTCCTGGCTGTTTTGCAATAGGACTACTCCATAATTGCCTTCATATTTGTGTATGTGCAACAGTGCCTATTCAACAGTTATGTTTGCCTATTATACAGCATCTGCCACACACACTTATCTTGGCCTGTTTTACATTTGCCACACAGTTACCTCGCCTGTTTTAAAGCATCCGCCACACAGTTACCTTGGCCTGATTTACATTTGACACACAGTTACCTCAGCCTGTCTTACATCTGCCACACAGTTACCTTGGCCTGTTTTACATCATCTGCCACAGTTACCTTGACCTGTTTTACATCTGCTACACAGTTACCTCAGCCTGTTTTACATCATCTGCCACACAGTTACATTGACCTGTTTTACATCTGCCACAGTTACCTTGGCCTGTTTTACATCTCCTACACAGTTACCTTGGCCTATTTTACATCATCTGCCACATAGTTACCTCAGCCTGTTTTACATCATCTGTCACAGTTACCTTGACGTGTCTTACATCTGCCACACAGCTACCTCAGCCTGTTTTACATCTGCCACACAGTTACCTCAGCCTGTCTTACATCTGCCACACAGTTACCTTTGCCTGTTTTACAACTGCCACAGTTACATTGGCTTGTCTTACATCTGTCACACAGTTACCTTTGTCTGTTTTACATCTGTCACACAGTTACCTTGACGTGTCTTACATCTACCACACAGTTACCTCAGCCTGTTTTACAACATCTACCACATAGTTACCTAAGCTTGTTTTGCTTAAATGTTGAGAAATCACTTTTTAATTAATTTACTACAAATGACACTGAACATTTTACTAATTTCAGGGTAGCTATCACAATGACCGTGAGTGCCTTTTGGCATGGCATCCACCCAGGGTACTACCTCAGTTTCCTAACTGTTCCCCCAATCCTCATGGCAGAAGAGGTGATGATCAAAGCCTTCAGGGACGGGGCCTCACCTCACATGCAGCAGCTGTTCGACTGGGGATGCTGGTTTTTCAAGATGCGGGGCTTTGATTATATGTGTATGGGCTTTTTGCTTCTGAAGCTGGGTTCTACTCTACGATACTGGTATTCCATTTATTTCGCAGGTCATATTGTCATTGTTCTATTTTTCATCTTGGGAAAACTAGTCCTGGTTCTCAGACCTCGGAAACATCAGAAGATGAAAGATTGAAAATATCAGAAGGTGGAAGATTTAAAAACACAGATAAAATGCAAAAGACTAAATTCATAATTAAATTACAATTTAAAACACTAGAAGGGTTATACTTAAAAAGACAGTAGTGAGAGATAAAAATAGGACACTATGAAAGGGGTTGGGAGGTGGGAAGGGGTGAGCTTCAGCCAGTATGTCTAGTGCCTAGTGCATTGCCATGAACTGTGCAAGACTATATTTTTGTTTTCCACCGGCAAAAAATATCTCCATTACCTTATCGAGGATTATAATCCAGGTTTCCCTCATGAAAGCTTAGCATTCTACCTGCTTAGCCAGATGCTCCTCCGGCACTTGGGTAACTAATTGAAAGGAGGGTGTGTGGCAACCAGTCATGCATACTTGTTTATTATAACGTCTTTTCACATCTTATTGGGGGGGTGGGGGGGGGGGGGTCTAAACTTGTTCTTTGCTATCATAAATTGAGGCGGTATAAATGAAAAAAAACATTATTTAAAGTACTGTATAATTTTAAACTATACCAAAACAGTTGTTAGAAAAAAAAACTTTAGAATGCTCAGAATGTTTAAAGTCAATTGATATGTCTTCTGTCTGTTGTTGCTTAATGTTCACCATTACATTGATTTGTTATATGTTAATATACAAAAATGACACATAATGTTATTTTGTGATGCCAAATATGTTTGTAATAGAGGATGTTAGGGAGAAAAAAGAATAATGGTATTTTAGACACATACAACTGAATATAAAAGAAAAATGTCTCACACACAGCATCATGTTGCAGAAAGTGAAATATGTTGGCTGTATTAAGAAAGAAAATAGGGGTTTTTGAGCTGAAATGCTATAGAATGAATCTCAGAATACAGCGGGAAAAGAAGAGAAGAAATAGTGACATTTTGAAAGATCTGAACATCAATCAAGGAAGATAGGCTGAAAAAAAAAACAGTCTTGGAAACTGAAATATGGTGGTCTTATCAGGCACCAGGGAAGACATGTTACCAGGAAGGAGGGACAGGGACTGACCAACATGAAGATGGGTACAGGATATAAGTGACTCCCTGAATATGAAAGTGCATGAGCTGGAAGAGCTGACGAGAGACCAAGTTTCTTTCAGGCAGACGAGGATGAGAGCGATGTTCTACAAAGGACCTGTTAGTTACATGATGATGATCATGTACTAAAAGCCACAGTAAAACGGTACAAAAAATTTGAAACATACTTGTCTACCATATAGTTCATACTTGTCTACCATATAGTTCATACTTGTCTACCATATAGTTCATACTTGTCTACCATATAGTTGCACACCTACAATTTATGAACTTAACAGCTCTCTTAGTTTTAGGACAGTGGTATGAGAGTCGCACCATGGAAAAGACTGCCGCCTCACCAGGTTATGTTCCTTAAGGCAGCCGTGGATGTACTGCAAGCTAACCGTCATTGTGGAGACGGCACAAAGAAAACATAACCAGATCCGAACACTTTCACAATACCTGCGTTCTGTATGTAGCAGCCTGTAGATTGTTTTACAATATAGAATCTTGTTTGTAATGCCAAACCCTGCTATATACAAATATCAGTGTGTTATTTGTTGATTGTTTTCTCTGTTACTTGTCATAAAACTTGTATGGGTTGAAAGCTGTGCTGGTTTAGTGGTTGGTGCACTCACCCAAACACACCATTGTTTTGGGTTTAATACTTAGGAATGAGAACTAACTGTCTGTGTAAAGGTAAACCAGATCTGTAAAATGGATGCCCATACAAAACTCAGGTTTTGGAACAAGGCTAAAGTCCAAGGATAGATGAACTACCAGAACTTTCTGATGGAATTTAGAGCCAGTCAATGCTAAACAAGAAAAAGCAGAAAGTACTGTTGTTTTGCAAGCGCTATAGCCCTGGGATCAAGCTGTTCTCACCAACAGACTGTTATTTGAATAGGAAGAACACAGACTGTTTGGTCATGTGTGGAGTGACTGTTCTACATATGGTTCTCATAGACAACTGACACTGTTGGGTCACTCTAAAATGACCACTGTCCAGTTAAATGTTGTGCTTGGCATAAGTTGAGCATACTGTTTTGTAAGATTTGGCACCACTTTATGATTGGATGTTTGTTGTTGAACATTTCATTTCCTCAAAATTTGCATAAGGTCCAAGTTATTGTAGCAGCTGTATTGCCCAACATAGTTTTTTTAGTGACCCGTGTTGGCTGTGTTGTCTCATTTAAGTATTCACTGGCAGCATCTGTGAGTTGCATAACCTCCCAGTACAGCTGGTATTGGGGAGGGGGGGGGGGGGGGGGGGTTGTATCTTGTTTTGTGGCAATTCATGGCCTTGGTTTGGTAGTTCAAGACTCTTATATGTGAAAGGAAGAGAAGAGAAAGAGGTTATATTTTGCCAAAATACCTTTCTTCCAGTTTATTTGCTGAATCATAATCTAGTTATGTCAAAAACACCCCCCAGTAAATCAGAAGATCCATTACTGGTTCTGAACACCCTGAATTCCTGAGCTTGGACAGGGCGAGTAGAACTCTGCAACAATCTTTGAAGAGATGCTGCTTTGGTACCGGTATCTCTCAACACCAACCTGATTCTCATAGATGCTAGCCCTATTCATGAGAGCCCTTCTCATAGTCTGGGCCAGTGTTTTCTGTTTAGTGGTTCATAGACCCTGTAACAAATTTAACCGTAAAAACTATAAATTTAGTCCTGTTTTACATCACTGGCGCATTGGCCATGTGACAGTAGACTCATATTTTTATAGCCCAGATGGCTCTTGGTGAGTGATGTGGTCACCATTGAGCTGGCTGCTTTTACTTCCCAGGAAATTATCCCGTGCCCATTTTAGGTTTAGTTGACCTGGAAACCAAGGTCGGTTGTGAAGAACAAAGCCAGCTCAATGCAGATTCGACCCAGTGCATCACAAATTTAAGGTGTCCTTTATCATTTAGAGTTAACCTCTCAAATTTAGAATGTAAATCCTTGTGGTAATTGTAATATGTATAAATTATAATAAGTACCTTAGTATGACTGTTAAAAACTATGGTGTCCACGGCAAACCTTTGAAAATAAGAGGGATCCAACACTAAATAGGAATCACTGGTCTAGATGAACCTGAACACCAGTGCAGCAGAATGAAGAATTGACTTACAGCCTTCCAGAGGACTGTCCATCAACTAACCAGACAGTTAGACATGCCAGAATGTATGTTCTGGGCACAAGAATGCTTAGCCTGTATGGCAAACAGTTACAAATATGTCTAGACACACAGTTAAAAAAGTATGTATGTGTAGTAAACTCTGACCTATTTAGTTGCAACAGAATTATTAAAATGTTGGGATATACAGGTTAATGTAACAACTGAGGGATAAACAGGTTAATGTAACAACTGAGGGATAAACAGGTTAATGTAATAACTGAATGAGACCCACACACACACATACACAAAGCTGAGGTCTGCTGTTTGGCTGAGAATGAATGACCACCACTAATGTCTTCGACGCCCTCCATCCTGGTTTTTACAGTGGTACCTGTTACAGCGCCAGCGTCTGTGGCTTAGGCGTAGCAAGCGCGCTTTGCAATGCCAGGGTGCCAGGTTCGATCCCAGCTGCGGGCCTTCTGCCTTGCATTGGTTTCCACAGTGTCATCGAGAAGCCGACTGTCCGGAAAGCAATGGCAGACTATTGGAGGTAAATTTGCCTAGAAAAACCACAACAGCAAAAAAATGCTAGAATTGGTTCTGCAACGTCCTGTAAAAGATCCACAACTAACTTTAATCTGTTACGGCATGTGTAAACACATTTGTTTGTTGTTCTGTCTGTTGCACTAAACAGAATATGGATTCTTACACACACCTGGCATTGATTAATCATGTTGTCTTGTCTCTCTGTCAGGATCCAACACTGAAACATGGCTCTGGCACTGTTTCATCATGTTGTCTTGTTTCACTGTCAGGATCCAACACTGAAACATGTCTCTGGCATTGGTTCATCATGTTGTCTTGTCTCACTGTCAGGATCCAATATTGAAACATGGCTCTGGCATTGTTTCATCATGTTGTCTTGTCTCACCTTCAGGATCCAACACTGAAACATGGCTCTGGCATTGGTTCATCATGTTGTCTTGTCTCTCTGTCAGGATCCAACACTAAAACACAGCTCTGGCATTGGTTCATCATGTTGCCTTGTCTCACTCTCAGGATCGTGGCGCGGTGATTTATGTCACAGGCGTGAGGGAAAGTTAAGTCCAACGTGATGTGTATAAGGAGATACTCTGTACGTTACACGGGCGCCAGTCCTTCACTGTTCTGGTTTTACGGAACCTCACGCAAGACCCCTGCTGCACGTCCTCGTCGTGCGCCACGGATAATGTCTCAAATGAGCATTAACAGAGCTGTCAGGGGATCTCGGAGTTTGGCGGCCCCCACAGGTGTAGTGTCCTTGTGGCTCTCATTAGCCCGCACCCAAACGCATGGGTGAAAAAGCTTATCAAAACTCATTAGGAACATGAGTAAAGTGCTTGCCAACGTACAACCAAAATTACAACCCTTGGTTAAAAGATTTCGGAGTGAAGAGAACATTGTTCTGCTGAGACTCAACCCTTGATCTAGAGATTTACCCGCAGCACAGACGAGTAACATCTCCTATGGGAGGTGTCTCGCAGCAAGACTCTACCCATGTACATCCCTTGTTAACCCTCAGTGTCGTCGTCACCGCCCTGAGGTTCACCACGACAGCAAAAGCCCACTGGCTGGCTAAGCCTAAATGTCCGACAAAACTAGATCCTATGATACACGAGTAAGCTCAAAATCTGACCGTCACAAATCATATTGAATGGGAAAAAGTCTAAATGTCCACACCCAAAGACCCCACTCGCCCGAGTGTTTGGACCAAACAGATAACGATATGCCTGACGCAGGACGTTAAATTCTGTCGTGCTAACGGCTCGTCAAAGATGTCTAACGTGCGAAGAAAAAGAATGTACCTATTCGTGTGGTCACAAAAGTCCAGAACCCGCGGGCTGCTCCCCGCTGATTTCCAGAGGGCTCAGCCCTTGTCGAGCGGGAGGCCTAATACGGTTGTGAGGTTAAGCAGGCATGTGCAGGACGTGACGATTCCTTGGGTGAGCCCAGAACCAGAGCGCCATGTGCTGGCTCTACATAGATGGAAGCCTCCTTGGATGGCGGGGAATGCCCATGATCTGCCCCTGCCTTTCCTTGAGGGCTAACCGTTCCACAAGGGGCTGCCCCAAAGGGGTACTCCGGGGGCAACACCTGCGGAGAAGGTGACAAAGAGGACACCACACAAATCAGGCAACGTCTTGACCCACACAAAACAATGGCCACAGTCATCCTAGAAATAGGCCTGACGTCTTCTCTCGAAGTCGGAGTACATCTGCCTGCGAGGCAGGGAACAGCAAAACGGTTGTACACGCAAAACTCAGATCCAGGTAAAAGCCAAAAGTCCAAGCGGACGATTAACCGGGACCTTCCGCCGGAATTCACAGCTGGTGAACGAAGAAGAAGAAGAACTGTCAGGATCCAACACTGAAACATGGCTCTGGCATTGCTTCATCATGTTGTCTTGTCTCCCTGTCAGGATCCAACACTGAAACATGGCTCTGGCATTGCTTCATCATGTTGTCTTGTCTCACTGTCAGGATCCAACACTGAAACATGGCTCTGGCATTGGTTCATCATGTTGTCTTGTCTCTCTGTCAGGATCCAACACTGAAACATGGCTCTGGCATTGGTTCATCATGTTGTCTTGTCTCACTCTCAGGATCCAACACTAAAACACAGCTCTGGCATTGCTTCATCATGTTGTCTCATTGTCAGGATCCAGCACTGAAACACAGCTGTGGCATTGGTTCATCATGTTGTCTCACTGTCAGGATCCAACACTAAAACATGGCTCTGGCATTGTTTCATCATGTTGTCTTGTCTCACTCTCAGTATCCAGTGTTTAAATATCGCCAAACTTATCGCTGAGACGTGAATACCACATCCAAATGTTTCTGTTTTTTCTGCTTACCAGAATTTTAAGCATCAGTTTAAAAAGTACCATCATGATTTGTTTTTCTATTTATACAAATAAAAATCTAATCAGAAATTAATGAAAAGAGTCAAAACTGGGAATGTAAAAATGTGCTATAATTTCATGAAGTAAGCATGGATTGACCAGTGACATATATTGTTGACACATCCAGTAAGTAATGTGAAGGAGCCTTCTCCTCACCTTTAGGCATATTGGGCATTTAGGGCTAGACCTATATTTTTATAGACCAGTCACTCATTGGGTGACATGGTCAACATCATACCCGCCACCTTTACTTCCCAGGACTGCACATGGTACCCATTTGAGGCCGGGTCAACCTGGGAGCCAGGGTAACTGTTATTTTCTTAAACAGTCTGGCTCCATCAGGGCCTGAACCCAGAACCTTCAGACGCAAAACCCTGGTGGCTCCCTTAGTGCCCTTTTGTAGTCCCACTTCAGAGGACATAAATCCCTCAAGGATTACAGAATCTTCAAATCCTTTTTTTCGTTTTTTTCAGTCAAAACTGACCTTGCCTCCCTGGTCAAGCCAGCCTAAAATGCTTACCAGGTAAGTCCTGGAAAGTAAAGGCGGCGGTGAGATGTTGACCGCATCACCCATCAAGTTCTGACCGGTCTAGAACAATATAGGTCTAGCACCATATGCCGCAGTTGCCAACTGCTTGAACAAGGCTCCTTAGTACAAGATCTGTCCAGTTAAATTCTTCCTGACAAAGCCTAGCAAGCTGGCAGTGGACATAAGCTACTTACTAAATAAATAGATTCACACCTGGAATGATTCTAAGGGACACAGAAAACTCTAGCACTCATACACACTTATATCACCTCACAGGAAGTACACATAATGGTCACTGGTGATGCAATATATTTTTGTTTTTAACTTTGCCGTCTCCACAATGGAGGTTGGTTGTAATGTTTCCACTGCTGCAACCTTTTCCATGGTGTGACTCTCATACCATTCACTGTGTGAAAACCACGAGAAGCCGTTTTCTAAATGCTCATTGCAGGAACTGAACCCTGGTAAATGTTGAGGACTGCACTGTGAAACCATTTCAGTCACTTCTAAGTCAAAAAGCCATATTTTGAATGAGTCAACAGTACTGACATCTTTGATACCCTGCAGCCTGGTTGTCGCAGTGACATCTGTTATAGCATGAGTAAACACATCTGTTTGTTGTTCTGTCTGTTGCACCAAATAGAATACGGATTCTTACATTTCCCTTCTCTTATCTGTTCAGTGAGAGACAGAGGGAGGATAGAAAAAGAGGGAAAGAAAGTGAGATGAAGGGTGAGAATGTAGAAAAAGGGGGGAGAGACAGGAGCACTGTATGTACAGAAGTCAGGTTCTTAATTTATAACGTACCCCAAACATGAAATCCCCGTGGGAAATCCATAGCTGACCTGACAGTCCATTATTTAAAGGGGTGAAAGTGTGCTGTTGTGTTGTTGTTTTTTTTTTGAGTGTTCATCTAGTGTCTTCTAATGCTAACCCTAACCCTAAACTTGGCAGTAGATAAATCGCGAGAAACTACAACCTGAATACCCTAGAATTGATTGGGAATGTCTCCCGTGACGTTGTCGTGACGTCAGGGGTAAGTTATAAATTAAGTACCCAGAAGTCATGGTTGTTAAATTCAGAAACTGCTATGAGAGTGCAGAACGGTACATGCTTTCAAACAGGATTTCCCTGTGTGGGTTCCAGGGCCGGGTTATAGGGAAAACAAGAATAGACCCACTGCCAAACCCAAAAGCATGTCGGGTCGACTAATTGGGAACTTCCTTCAAAGTGCATCTGCCTGAGAGGCAAGGAACCAACAGTCTGCATACAAATTAGCCATATCTGTCAAACAGATGCACACACAACACTCAAGTTCTGGGAAAGGACTGCAGTGCAAAGTGGACACACAACCAGAACTTGTGAAAGCGAAGAAAAAAAAAAAGAAACAGGATTGAGACAAGAAGAATAAGAGAAATCAAAGACTGTTTGTTACTACAATATAAACATTCTGAGACAACCATTTACAGTATTTTAACCATTTTTACACTGACTAAAAGTTATTTTGTAGCTCTCAGAGTCATGTAGTCAGAATGCTACAACCTTGACACAGTTCGCAGCAGCAACAGCAGCTCCAAGCTAGATGCCTTCTCCACTAGGATGTGCAATCTCCTGTATGACAAAGTGCAACAGCTGGTTCTGTTCACAGTTCAACAAGGGCCAGAGTTCCTTCTGTAGAGCTTTCAGGGACACCAGGTCATGAGACTGGCAGGCCAGCTGTTAAAACAGAGTATATATGATATACAGTGTATAAATTACCACCACTGTAGACACAAATTGTTTTGAAAGCAAATAAGTCAAGTAAGTAGAGGTTACTTTTATGCCAGTGGCACCAGGCATATGATGGAAGACCTACTGGCATTTGATGGGTGAGGTATCACAATCATGACAGCCGTCTTTACTTCCCTAAGATTACCTGGAACCCATTGTAGGCTGCGATGACCTGGGAGCCTAGTAAAATTCTTGAATAAAACCTGACTCAATGCAAACTTCAACCCAAGACCTTCAGGCTGGCAAGCGAGTGTTCAGCCACTACCTCACTCCTTAAAAAATAATCAGCAGTCAGTAAAAGATGCACTCATGACGTTAAATGTTGAAATAAAAACTGACAGCACAGCTAAAGGTCGACCATGCAAAACATGGACCGCAGAAATAATGAAGACATTGAAAAGTACTATACGTGAAGCGAACAGAAGGGCCTGTTTCAGAGATCTCTTCTTGCCCTGATGCTGCCAGGCATTTCAGGGCTACAGAATAGATGAAGATCACAGAACTTGGGACATTCCCACAAGGAGCAAACGCAGAGTTCTAATTCCGATAGCATCAGAAACTGTCTGATGGTAAATCTTCCTCGCCTACCCATACTTGTATACACACTAAGTATATGGTGTTAGTGTTCTATTTCTACTGACCAATCAGCATTTGTGCGGCTGCTTCAATCCCCAGAGTATGTCCTGGTGGTCATGAAGGCTACATCAAAATCTGAGCCAATGGGAAACGAGTCAGCAGGCAGTCAAGTGCTCTAGTCATTTTACTAACGTGGATTCAAACACTTTTGTAAATTAAATAGTGTTGAGAAAGAATTTTCTAAAAGAACACAGTTATACACCAGTAACTTCTACAAACTGATCAAAATTATCCCAGAATATTGCAAACAGATGGTGGCCAGCAACAACATGTCAATGCAATAAACATCATCATCAGGTGCCTTGCCGAATGGCGTGGGCGATCATGCCTCTTCATAATCTGCGATCTCCTGCAGCATGTATCAGTTCCTGTGCCGACACACCTCCATGCCATGCAACAAGACTGTCAAGCATCTTCTCTCGTCTTCCTCTATCCCTCCTTCCACAGATCTTTCCAGTGGTCACAACATGTTCTATTTTCCCTCTTCTCATAATATGCTGAAAAATTATGACTGTCTCCTTCTGATGTCTGTGATAAGTTGTCTTCGGGCTTCCGCCTCTTTCAAAACCTCTTGGTTGCTCTTTTAGGCTGCCCAAGGAATTCTAAGCATTCTTCTGTAAAACCACATCTCTGAGACCTCAAGCAAATACATAACAGAAAAGACTTCTTCTCGTTCACCAGCTGTAGACTCTGTTGGAAAGTTCTGGTTGTTCGTCCACTTTTGGACTTTAGCCTCGTTCCAAAACTTGAGTTTCATGGGCGATGTGGCCACTCATTTGACTGATCTGGCTTACTTGTATGCAGGCTGTTGGCTTCTTGCCTCTCAGGTGGATGCACTCCCATTTCAAAGGAAACCCTTAATTAGTTGACTCTGATGACATGCTTCTTAGGGAGGCAGTGGTCTGCTCTTTTTACCTTCTCTATTTTTCTCACAATGGGTCCCACCCTGGCAGCCACACAGGGAGAGGAGAAACCCAGGCAGGGAGCGGAGAAACCCACACAGGGAGAGAAGAAACCCACCCAGGGAGAGGAGAAACCCACACACGGAGAGGAGAAACCCACACAGGGAGTAGAGAAACCCACACAGAAAGAGGAGAAACCCACACAGAGAGAGGAGAAACCCACACAGGGAGAGGAGAAACCCACACAGAGAGAGGAGAAAGCCACACAGGGAGAGGAAAAACCCACACAGGGAGAGGAGAAACCCACACAGGGAGAGGAGAAACCCACAGAGAGAGAGGAGAAACCCACACAGGGAGAGGAGAAACCCACACAGAGAGAGGAGAAACCCACACAGAGAGAGGAGAAACCCACACAGAGAGAGGAGAAACCCACACGGAGAGGAGAAACCCACACAGGGAGCGGAGAAACCCACACAGGGAGAGGAGAAACCCACACAGGGAGAGGAGAAACCCACACAGGGAGAGGAGAAACCCACACAGGGAGAGGAGAAACCCACACAGGGAGAGGAGAAACCCACACAGGGAGAGGAGAAACCCACACAGGGAGAGAAGAAACCCACACAGGGAGTAGAGAAACCCACACAGAGAGAGGAAAAACCCACACAGAGAGGGGAGAAACCCACACAGAGAGAGGAGAAACCCACACAGAGAGAGGAAAAACCCACACAGGAAGAGGAGAAACCCACACAGGGAGAGGAAAAACCCACACAGGGAGAGGAGAAACCCACACAGGGAGCGGAGAAACCCACACAGGGAGAGGAGAAACCCACACAGGGAGAGGAGAAACCCACACAGGGAGAGGAGAAACCCACACAGGGAGTAGAGAAACCCACACAGGGAGAGGAAAAACCCACACAGAGAGAGGAGAAACCCACACAGGGAGCAGAGAAACCCACACAGGGAGAGGAGAAACCCACACAGGGAGAGGAGCAACCCACACAGGGAGAGGAGAAACCCACACGGAGAGGAGAAACCCACACAGGGAGCGGAGAAACCCACACAGAGAGAGGAGAAACCCACACAGGGAGAGGAGAAACCCACACAGAGAGAGGAGAAACCCACACAGGGAGAGGAGCAACCCACACAGGGAGAGGAGAAACCCACACAGAGAGAGGAGAAACCCACACAGGGAGTAGAGAAACCCACACAGGGAGTAGAGAAACCCACACAGAGAGAGGAGAAACCCACACAGGGAGTAGAGACACCCACACAGGGAGCGGAGAAACTCACACAGAGAGAGGAGAAACTCACACAGGGAGAGGAGAAACCCACACAGAGAGAGGAGAAACCCACACAGAGAGAGGAAAAACCCACACAGAGAGAGGAGAAACCCACACGGAGAGAGGAGAAACCCACACAGGGAGAGGAGAAACCCACACAGAGAGAGGAGAAACCCACACAGAGAGAGGAGAAACCCACACAGAGAGAGGAGAAACCCACACAGGGAGTAGAGAAACCCACACAGAGAGAGAAGAAACCCACACAGGGAGTAGAGAAACCCACACAGGGAGTAGAGAAACCCACACAGAGAGTGGAGAAACCCACACAGGGAGAGGAGAAACCCACACAGAGAGAGCAGAAACCCACACAGGGAGAGGAGAAACCCACACAGAAAGAGGAGAAACCCACACAGAGAGAGGAGAAACCCACACAGAGAGAGGAGAAACCCACACAGGGAGTAGAGAAACCCACACAGGGAGTAGAGAAACCCACACAGAGAGAGGAGAAACCCCACACAGGGAGTAGAGACACCCACACAGGGAGCGGAGAAACTCACACAGAGAGAGGAGAAACTCACACAGGGAGAGGAGAAACCCACACAGAGAGAGGAGAAACTCACACAGAGAGAGGAGAAACCCACACAGAGAGAGGAGAAACCCACACGGAGAGGAGAAACCCACACAGGGAGCGGAGAAACCCACACAGGGAGCGGAGAAACCCACACAGGGAGCGGAGAAACCCACACAGGGAGAGGAGAAACCCACACAGGGAGAGGAGAAACCCACACAGGGAGAGGAGAAACCCACACAGGGAGAGGAGAAAACCACACAGGGAGAGGAGAAACCCACACAGGGAGAGGAGAAACCCACACAGGGAGAGGAGAAACCCACACAGGGAGAGGAGAAACCCACACAGGGAGAGGAGAAACCCACACAGGGAGAGGAGAAACCCACACAGAGAGAGGAGAAACCCACACAGGGAGAGGAGAAACCCACACAGAGAGAGGAGAAACCCACACAGGGAGAGGAGAAACCCACACAGGGAGAGGAGAAACCCACACAGGGAGAGGAGAAACCCACACAGGGAGAGGAGAAACCCACACAGGGAGAGGAGAAACCCACACAGAGAGAGGAGAAACCCACACAGGGAGAGGAGAAACCCACACAGGGAGTAGAGAAACCCACACAGGGAGTAGAGAAACCCACACAGGGAGTAGAGAAACCCACACAGGGAGTAGAGAAACCCACACGGAGAGGAGAAACCCACACAGGGAGTAGAGAAACCCACACAGGGAGTAGAGAAACCCACACGGAGAGGAGAAATCCACACAGGGAGTAGAGAAACCCACACAGGGAGTTGAGAAACCCACACAGGGAGTAGAGAAACCCACACAGGAAGTAGAGAAACCCACACAGGGAGTGGAGAAACCCACAGAGAGAGAGGAGAAACCCACACAGGGAGAGGAGAACCACACAGAGAGAGGAGAAACCCACACAGAGAGAGGAGAAACCCACACAGAGAGAGGAGAAACCCACACGGAGAGGAGAAACCCACACAGAGAGCGGAGAAACCCACACAGGGAGAGGAGAAACCCACACAGGGAGAGGAGAAACCCACACAGGGAGAGGAGAAACCCACACAGGGAGAGGAGAAACCCACACAGGGAGAGGAGAAACCCACACAGGGAGAGGAGAAACCCACACAGGGAGCGGAGAAACCCACACAGAGAGAGGAGAAACCCACACAGGGAGCAGACAAACCCACACAGAGAGAGGAGAAAGCCACACAGGAAAGGAGAAACTCACACAGGGAGAGGAGAAGACAAACTAAGAGAATAAATGTTTTAAAACATCAAGAGTGTGCCTGCTGTCTGGCTGGCTATAATGGGGCCAACTATGACTCATGCTATTTATTAGGTGTCTAAACAAAACTCTTATAAAGATGTATGCAAGCGGGGCATGAATGATACAGGTATTGAGGCGGACTCATGGGAACAAAATACCATGGACCGTGTTGTGTGGAAAGGGCATATCAGGAAGGGAATGAGACTGAAGGAAGAAAATGATTGCAGAAAGGATGAGAGCTGAGCGTCTGAAAAGAAACGGGTTAAACACAAATCTTGTTAACAATGGTCCTGAAATTCCATGCTATCATTGTAGAAGACTTTTCTTGACACATGCGGGTCTTGCTAGTCACACTCGCCATCGCCATTGGCTGTGAGTCTCATGTCTCCTCATAGTGCAATATAACACTATCGTCTGGAAAGACGGAAAGGTGCCAATGAAACAAAACTCTTCACTGCCTGTATTTACCACATTTAAGGTGACGGGAGAGGGGGGCGTTTGAGTCTGAGGATTTAGAGCCCTATGGCTAGCACAGTCGCCACAAATAAAAGAAACTGCCATTGCACTGGCAAGATATCAACCTGGCTGCTTCGGGTTACCTCAGTTCGGTGATTTTGACTATTCGTGTAGTTTTGTTTGATTTATGTATGTGCTGAAGAGGGCTCTGTAGCTGCAACGTTCACTCTCCGTTTGTGTTCGTCATATTGTGAAGCTTGCTGATATATTTTTCTTTCGGTTTTATGTCTTTCCAAATAAAAGTCTTAGCCCCTTTAAAAACAAGTAAATTTACCCAGTGTAGTTGTTCAAAGCACAGAAACAATAGAAACAAATTTTCATTTTAGAATATTTGAAGAAACAAAAAACAGCGATGAATGGAGGCGGGTAATATATGCAGCAGTGAATTTCAAGAGCTCGGAATGCTTAAGAAGATGAGAATATTAAACAAAAACTTCTGGTTTTCTCCATATTTCCATCAATACTGACTTGATTAAGTGGCATCGCTTTACTAAACACAAAGCAGCTTAACATGACCAGCTAGATATGAGATATGTACTTACCACCACAGACTGCAGTAGAAGATATAAATCTTCTCCCAGGTACATCTCTGAGGACAGCATAACAGGAACAAACAGTATTTATGTGTGCTAAATCTGAACAAAGAAGACATAAGCAACAGACTGCACAATTTATTGCCTGGCATATTTCACGGTGTCTCGCCAGGTGCGTGTGACAAAATCCGAATGAACCCTTTTCTTCTTCTACGTTCTTCCTTAAAAGGGCAGTTGACATGTTGTGCTATGGCTAATGATGAGGCATATCTGAGTCTCTTTGCACCCAACACATCTAATTTCAGCAAAGCCCTAATTAGTCACCTTTTTTGACATGCTTGTCTATCCGCCCCCTCCCCCCCTTCCCAACATTCAGCACCCCAGAAAAAATTAAGGTCCCAGAACCCACACAGGGAACATGAATTAACTTAAATACAAAAATCCATCACATGTGACTATTGATACACACAACCAGTCATTTTCTTTGACTGAAACTGCTCTCTGTTGTTTCTCATTAGTCACCTCTAACTACAGTAAAGCCTGGTTAACAGGAACTCACTTAAGAAGAACACTTGGTTATCATGAACAAACCCTGGTCCCAGCAGGGATGTCATATTTGTTGTTAGCCCCCAGTTAGCACAAATGTTTTTAACATGAACTCAATTTGTTTTGGTGTCTTGGAAATTCGTGTTAACAGGGTTTTTCCTATACTTGTTAATTTTTTTGCTATTCTAGTGATATTTTTTATTACTCTTTTTTGTTTACTTTTGTAAATTCTTAATATTAGTTAGGTTTTATTACTATTTTCTTTATTTCTTTCTCTTTCTTTCTGTCTTTCTTCTATATTTGACAGCTTTCATTATCTCTGTTTTAGTGTTTCCTGTCATTTGATTTCAATGGGGACTCAAACATATGACAACAAGGGTGGCAGGCTACCTACTGGCTGCTGTTCTATTTCTGCTCTCAATTTTCTGTGTATCTTTATATCATCATAATGTCAAACACAAAATCATGGAAACTTGAAACTGGAACTATTTGTAATGATCAGTGACACAGAAACATCTTGCATCCAACAGAAAAAGCCCACATCCTGTAAGAGCTGCAACATGGAAAACCTACCGGTCAGGCTGTCACATGACTCCCAGGTGTATTTCTCTAGAGTCTGGGCATGCTCTGGTCTGATTCTCTGAGGGGTTGGCTGAAACATTGGAAAACATGCCTCAGTAAAAAACATATTTTTATCAACATTTCAATGACAATTATACATACATACATACATACATATATATATATATATATATATATATATATATATATATATATATATATATATATATATATATATATATATATATATATATATATATATATATATATATATATATATATATATATATATATATATACAGACACATCCAGAATTACAAACGTGCAACATTAGCAGATAAATACACACAAAGAGGTATATACAAATGCACACGATAATCATCATCAAGTGCCTTGCCAACTGACCTGAGCAATCAATGATATCCATAACTGCTATTTCCAACAGCATGTGCTGAAACTACTCCTTGCTATGACAAAAGGCTGTCAAGAATCTTCTCATATTGCCTTCCTCTATCTCACTTACAGATCTCTCAAGTGGTCGCAACATATTCCAGTTTCCCTCTTCTCATCATAACATAACATAACCCTTGACCTGTTAGGGTGGTGAAAGTGTACTGATGGAAGCACCAGCACATAAAACCCGCCATCTGTCTTCCATCTTCCATTTTTTGAATAAGTGTATGATAACTCAGACCTGTCCATTTCTTGATGTTGTCATTCCAAGTTCTTCTTTGTCCTCCTCTTCTACTACACTCCCCCCCCCCACCTCCATTGTCCCTTGAAGTACAGTCTTTGCAATCGAATTATGTCTCACCAAGCTACTCTGAGACATTTCACCACTGCCAAGAGAGGCTCCTGATGTCCAGCAAATTTATTTATTTTTTCTCTTACATATTTGTTAGTTTTATGTTCTATATAACTGATTCGTAAAATTCGTCTATAGCATTTACATTCAAAAGCCTGAATTTTCCTTTCAATTTCCACAGGGACAGCCCAACTCTCAAATCCGTATAAGAAAATAAACAATAAGATCAGGAATGAGATCATAAGAGAACAAGTCGGCACAGAACCAATTCTGGATTACATACAAAGACAGCAAGTGAAATGGTTTGCCCACTCAGAGAGAATGCCTTGTGACACCATACCATACAAAGCATACATGGAAAGAGAAGAAGGACGTAGAGCACGGGGTAGACCAAGAACAAGATGGAAGGATAACATCAGAGAAACTCTACAACAGCACGATGTGCCTATGGTCGAGGCAGCCAGAAGAGCTAGAAACAGAACCTTATATCTCCCTCGACACCCACAGCGGTCAAAGAGGAAGTGAAGAAGAAGAAGAAGTGATTAGTATAAATTGACCTTTACTGCGATGCTGATTTTGCTCTTCCACATTGTATTCAGCTGGGACATCGTGGCTGTTGCCATATAAAGTCTTGCTTGATCTCTTTGGTACAGCTGCCATCATAACATATGTGGGAGCTGGAGTATTTAAAAGTTTCAACTTCTAGTTTTTATCTGTATGTTGGTAGGTACTTGGTTATTGTGACTATTTACCAGAATCTTGCTTTTCTCAGCATTAATTTCCATGCCATATTTACCACAGGCTGTCTCTAATTTTGTGGTTAAGTTCTCACAATATGGCCAAACAAATTATGACTGGGTTTTTCTTCTGTTTGTGATAAGATATACATATATAAATTTAGGGAGTGTCCATATGCAATGGAGTTTAAGTGTGATCAATGGAAAGACCCTTTCCATGTGCAATGAACCACATGCAATGAAGGTGATGTGCGAAGTCACTGGTGTACTTATTAGAGTACCTAAGTGCAGTGAAGATGATCTATGTAAAGGCACTGGTGCACTTATTTGGTTAACCATGTGCAGTGAATGAAGGTGATATCTCACAAACTAAACAAAAGGAAATCTGACCTGCAGAAGCAGCAGCAGCAACAAACGTGTGACTTCACACCGTGCTAGTATATCACAGTACGCTCCAATGGGCCGGCCCGTGGTGGAGGATCCTGTCAAAGAAATATAGAGATTACAAGTATATAATATAATATACACACTAATTTCATCATTATTATGTGCCGTTTGAAAAAGAGTGACTTATAATTTCTCCTCAATTCCTAATCTTTGACAATGTATCAGTTAAACCATGCAGGTTCCCAAGAGGCACCTTTTCAGTCGATACCACCCAGCTTCTATAACCATCTGCACTTTCTCATCTGTTATCTGACTCTCACATAATCTTCTTCTCCTTCATGTTCACCAGCTGCAAACTTCAGCAGAAAGTTCTGGATGTTCGTCCACTTCTGGACTTTAGTTTTGTTCCAGAACATGAGTTTTGTGTGTACATGCATTTTACAGATCAAGCTTATTTGAAGGCAGGCTGTTAGTTCCTTCCCTCTCAGGCAGATACACTCTGACTTTGAAGGGAACACTCCCAGTTAGTTGACTTTTATGACATGCTTGTTGGGGGGGGGGGGGGCAGTAGATCTAACACCCCCCATGGGGCCCCAGAACCCCAAGAGGGAGACACCACTGCTGAAACCAACTGACACACAATAACTTTAAACACCAGCAGTTAATAAACTCACTAACCTCCTCTTTCATGTGCCAGGTAAGCCATCTCTGTCAGGACTGCCAGGGCACCCTCATAATCCTCTGTTTAAAAAAGTAAATAAAATATCAGCATTATGATGTCTTGGTTGGTCCCTCTCTTAAAATATATTTTGAAAATCTATGATCTACGCCCATAAGGGAAAAACAGGTAAAGCTGTAGCCACAACCTGCATTGGTTAAATGGGGCTAGAGATCTGTGCCTGTGGGATGGTCACAAACTCTTTGGAACAAGCCACATTCATCTCTTTAAAGTACTTATTTTTTTTTTTATGCTCGGTAAAAAAACTTTATTTAATCAGAGCATGCATTTTGTTTAGACAAAATAATAAATAAAACAAAAACAAATCAACACCAAAGTAATGGTTGATACTAGAAAGTCCTTGTCAAAAACTAATGCACAAGTTTGTCAACGCCAACTAGAAAAATCAACCTAACCTTACAAAAGAAAACTCGTAAAAATTGCATAGGTCAACATACAACTGCAGTCTCTGTCCAATTTGGTCACTTAATTAAAACAGCCTGATATCTAGGTTTAGAAGTCAAATTCAATTTCACTTTAATCCCGTCAAATGGTAGAATAAAAGTAGCACAATACACAAGATTTCCCCTGTCAAAGATACTAGACATGCACTTCTGTCATTGGGTGACATATAAAACAAAGAGCCAGCCCTGAAGATCCAGATGACACCAACAAATCAAGAAATGTTGGTCAAATTCTCATCAGGTTGTTTCAAGAGTCACTGGGTGCCCTCGTTATACATTGGTTTACTCTGGCGGTAGCCACCACGCCCAAGGCCCCATTTGGCGAGGTCCTCCTCTGGATGGCCCACCTTGGTATCCGTAGTAGCCATCATAACTGCCACGGAATGCTGGAGGCCCGTAGTATCTATGGTAGAAAGGACTGCGGCCACGGTATCCCTGGTCACGCTGTAGCTGGTACTCTCCCTGACCCTCTAAGAATGGTCTTCCTCCACCACCACCAAGATGTGGGACTCCAAAATATCGTCTGTTCTGGAAAAATGGTCTACCTCTGCCCCTGCCTCTTGGGGAAGGATAATCTATGGGTCCCTCGTCTTCTTGGAAATCCTGTCGTGGTCTACATCCTCGCCCGCTTCCATGGTAACGAGGGTACCACCCACCCCGGTTGACCTGCGACGGTCAGCAGCATATTTACTACCTTGGACATGTGAACCATCAGGGCCTGTAACGTTGGCAGCCTCATTTCCCTTCTCTCCTACGACATCAAATTCAACTTTTTCACCATCTCCAACACTTCGCAGATATTTTCTTGGGTTGTTTTTAACTATGGCCGTCTGGTGAACAAAAACGTCTTCTTTTGTATCATCGCATTTGATAAATCCATATCGACTTTTCACATTCAACCATTTTACTGTCCCTGTAACGTGGGCCGTGATAACTTTTTTTTCCTTTTGTTGTTCTACTTTTTGTTCAGGTTCCGGCTTGTTGTCAACCTCAGATTGATTTTCTGTGCCGGCCATGGCAGATGGTAAATGCCGTTTGTTGGTACTACTAAAAAAAAAGCCCTGACTGTTTCTTCAAGATCTTTCCCTGACCATGTCCTTCTTCACAAAAGTCTCTACTTGTCCTCTACAGCTTATGGTGAACAAAGAATTAAAGTCAGTTAGTATTAAGTCATCTGACACTTGCCTAGTTGCAGGTGCTTGAACAATGGCCTCAGATACAAATACAACTATAAAAGTACATACAGCCACTATGAACTATCGGAAAAATAATTTCTTGTAGTAGATCTTGAGCATAAACGTCGCAATCAGACAAACTCTGGTCTATACATACTACAAAATCTTGAAATCCAGGCCTCACAAAATCGAGTGGATCAGTTACAATTATGATGGTTTGGACATGTATGCAGAATGGGAGAGAATCGGCCACCAAGACAGGCACGTGAGGTCCAAGTACCAGACCTCCAGGACGATGCAGAGTTCGCTGGGAAGACAACATCCCACAGTCCCTGACTCATAGAGATGTGGAATGGAACAAAGCCAAAGAGAAAAACTGCTGATAGAAAGTCTGGTGATCTCTGTGGCAAACCTCTACAGAAGAGGATCGACTAAGTAAGTAAGTAAATAAGATCTTACTTAGGCAGACATCTGTTCAAAAATGTAAGCACTCTGGCTAATTATTAACTACTATAAAAAAAAAAAAAAAACTCACTTGTGTCCATCTTGCACTTTGCAACCAGATTCAAAGCATCAAGACAATCCAGGGCACTCTGAAACATTCAAAGAACAAATGCTGAAAAAAACCATGGACAACGAAAGGAGCAGATTATAACTAGGAATCATCTTTCTGTCACCAAGGCTCATAAGGCATGAAACATGTAGCAACACTGTAACGTACCATGTAAGTCTTAAGAGGCCACTAATCAACTGTTATTCCAAATATCAGGGGACACAAAACGAGTCTAGTTTAATTCCAGTTTCAACTGCATATGAACTACCTGTGAGAGTTCCCGGGTCTCACTGTAGGGAGAGGGGAAAAAATAATAGACACACTACCCCCTTAGTAAGCACATTAGGGGTGTTTCCTTTAAAGTCGGAGTGCATCTGCCTGAGAGGTAAGTAACCAACAGTCTGCATAAAATTTAGCAGATCTGTATAATGGATGTGCCTGAAAGGTCACTGTCCAGAGCTACAATCCAGCCTGGAAAGGTGGGGGGGGGGGGGGGGCTGAAGGTCATGGGTATCAAATCCACATCAAGCCAACCCCCCCCCCCCCCCCCCCCAAAAACCTTGGTACCTAGGTAGACCCAGCCTAAAGTTAGTGCCTGGATAAAGTCTTGGGAATTAAAAGTGGCTGGCACAATGTTTACATCACTCATCAAGTGCTGACTGGTCTATAAAATATGGGTCTAGCCCTATGTACCCAATATGCCCACAGAAACAAAACAGAGAAATAAACATGTCACCTACCTGTGACTGTAGCTCTGCAGCTCTCTGAAAGTGTGCAATAGCTTCCCCTGGCTTGTTAACTTTCTATAGTTAGAATAAAGATACCTTCATATTACTTCATTCAAAATATTTCATTAAATAGACAATAACTGAGATCTAACAGTTTCATAAGGCAGGAACACATGACACAGGAACACATGACACAGGAACACATGACACAGAAACTCATGACACAGGAACACATGACACAGGAACACATGACACAGGAACACATGACACAGGAACTCATGACACAGGAACACATGACACAGGAACACATGACACAGGAACACATGACACAGGAACATATGACAATGTTGAGGTGAATGGAAGTTTACTGAACAAAGAACAGACACTACCAGTCTTGTCAAACACCAGATGTTTCTTGTCTTCACTGAACACTGACATGATAAAGGTAATCTTTACCTGTGTCTTATTAAACCCCTAGTAGGATGAGATTTGGCAAGAAGTATGCAATAACAACAACTGTGTCACTGACCTTACAATATCAACAAGCACACACACACAGTAGGATATCTTTACACAACACCTTCCTCAGATAAATACATTCTCATTAGTGAATATAACTTTTTCTCTTCCTCGTAAAAAAAAATAACTATGAAATTTAACTAATAATAATGCTAAAAATCACAATAATACAGCACACGTAGTGTGCATAGTGACAGAGAGAAGATGACTGAGGGGCTACATAAAAATAATGTGAGGTAAAGAAAGCAAAATGTTTATCCGATAGCACAGAATGTTTAGTTGAAATAAAAATAAACAGATAAAGCTGATAACAATGTGAAACCACAGATATACATACTCGGAGAACATTGCCCACTTCCAGGCAGACAGAAGCAGCCAGGGCAATCTGCTTGTTCTCAATATGAACCTGGAGATGCATGTTGATTTTTGTTAACAATGTCGAGCTTAACTAACTCAATCTGATTTACATAACATGACAGACTTGTGTATAAAATCATTATATGTGAACATGAACTGCTGATGAATACAATAGCATAGGAACAATAATGTAATAGTCTAAACATATAGCTGATGAATACAATAGCATAGGAACAACAATGTAACAGTCTGAACGTTTAACTGATGAATACAATAGCATAGGAACAACACTGTAACAGTCTAAACATATAGCTGATGAATACAATAGCATAGGAACAATAATGTAACAGTCTAAACATATAGCTGATGAATACAATAGCATAGGAACAATAATGTAACAGTCTAAACATATAGCTGATGAATACAATAGTATAGGAACAATAATGTAACAGTCTAAACATATAGCTGATGAATACAATAGCATAGGAACAATAATGTAACAGTCTGAACGTTTAACTGATGAATACAATAGCATAGGAACAACAATGTAACAGTCTAAACATATAGCTGATGAATACAATAGCATAGGAACAATAATGTAACAGTCTAAACATATAGCTGATGAATACAATAGCATAGGAACAATAATGTAACAGTCTAAACATATAGCTGATGAATACAATAGCATAGGAACAACAATGTAACAGTCTGAACATATAACTGATCAGTACAATAACACAGGAACAACAATGTAACAGTCTGAACATATAACTGATCAGTACAATAACATAGGAACAACAATGTAACAGTCTGAACATATAACTCTTTATGAAAAATCTAAATGATTCATCATGATGTGCCGTGTTGATACAGTCCACTATTAGGGTTTATCATCTAACATGTTTGCTGGTGTCTTGAATCATGTCTGTCCCATTCTGTACAAATCTGCTGCAGAGAAATACCGTAATAAGAAGAAGAAGAAGAAGCAGGAGAAGAAGCAGGAGAAGAAGAACAGCAGCAGCAGTAGGAGTAGTAGCAGCAGCAATAGTAGTAGCAGTAGTAGTAGTAGTAGCAGCAGTAATAGCAGCAGCAGTAGTAGTAGTAACAGTAATAGTAGCAGCAGTAGGAGCAGCAGCAGCAGTAGTTCCCTCTTCTCTACCAGATACATCTCAAAAAGGTTTAAACTATGGCTGGATAACACAAACCTTGCTAGTGACTCCTGTAGAAAACAGTATAGTTCAAGCAGGTGATTCCAAGCGCACCTCCCCCCGACCCCCCCCCCTTCCCCTTCTCAAACCCCAAATTCTGTATACAATAAATGAGGTATGAGTCAAACAGTTCTACACCTATGTTTGAAAAGACCCTAGAACATGTCTAGCAAGACCCCTTTTCTGGAAGAGCTGCCAAGCAACCTGTTTTTGACAACTAAGCTTTCGGGAAATCTAAGAGACCTTTGTCCAATATCCCAGTGTAAGGGGATGAGGTAATCAAGACAATATCCATGAGGTAATCAAGACAACATCCATGAGGTAATCAAGACAACATCCATGAGGTAATCAAGACAACATCCATGAGATAATCAAGACAACATCCATATTTTAGGCACATGAACAGAAAGTACTGGAGAAGAAGAGCTTTATACATTAAGAAATAAAATATCTAACAGGCTAAAAAAGAAAGACAGTAAATAAACAACAAAAGAAATACCCTGATAGCGTGACTGTAGCAGTTGATGGAGGCTGTCAAATGCTCCTGGAAGCCAGGTACTACAAGCTCCCTGTCCATGAGTTCAGCTTCCAGAAATGCTCTTGCTGCATCAATGAGAGCTTGAGCTTCTCCAGCAGGGTTTGACAAGGTGTGTTCACACCTGTCCGGAAAATGATACATTGTTCCAACTGTCTGTTATCATGAACTTTAAAATTATTATAGACTTAACAATGTGGGTTCACACCTGTCGGGAAAATGATACATTGTTCCACCTGTCTGTTATCATGAACTTTAAAATTATTATAGACTTAACAATGTGTGTTCACACCTGATGCGGTGTTCACACCTGTCGGGAAAACCAAAAAGAGAATAAGACACCTGTCTGTCTCTCATGAACTTTAGAATGATTTTAGACGTAACTACATATGCTTATTTCAAACCTTGGAAAAGGATACCTCCCAGCCTGGGACTAATCCTAGCTAGTCTGCATGTGTTGTGCTGAAGCTTGATCTGGCTACACCCTAACACAGTCGTCAGCTTAGCTTCTAGCTTCACTGGAGAACAGCACATAACTGCTCCACTCATGTGCTAGCGACAATGACTAACAATGTCTTTCACAGTCCCTCTTTAAAACAAGGAAAAAACATTTTAGTCCCAGCAAAATCATGAAGCTTGCAAACGCAAAGTAAATGCATAAGGCAGCCATCAGATGTACCAACACTAAGAGTCTCCCACCAGAACAGCAGCTGCTGCAAGCCGGCATGTGCACATGCATACTGCATAAATATACACCATTCTGAATGTAATTGGCCAGTGCCATTTTTAGTGTTGTTCATAGCACACAATGTGCCTCAGGCACAACAGAAAAAAAAACACATGAAATCTACAGCTCACTGTGTTGCACCAAGCTTCCAGCAGCTGGACGTAAAGAATCTTTTACACCTTAATATGCCTCTCTATAGCTATGCAACTCCAGCCCTGGTTTTGCATACCCTGCTGGATTCTGAGCTCAGAGAGGGGAAGGGGAGCCGTACCATGCAATTATAATGGAGATAGAATGTTGGTGCTGGGTCTAGAAAGAAGAAGCTACAGCAACAGCATCCCAAGAGATGCAAGCCCTTGATCAAGATTTTGTGATATTTGGTGTTGAAACATCTTCTTCTTTTTCTTCTCTAGTCCTGTTCTGCCTTTCAGCATCAGATTTTGAAGAGGCATCAGGTGTGATCCTTGGTAGGTGCTGCATAAAAGCTTTTATTCATGACCCGCGAATATTCCATCTATCCATCGCCTACCTCTATCTCTGCTTCTGTTGTGTCTTAAGCTTCTGTTGTGTCTAAGCTTCTGTTGTGTCTAAGCTTCTGTTGTGCCTAAGCTTCTGTTGTGCCTAAGCTTCTGTTGTGTCTAAGCTTCTGTTGTGTCCAAGCTTCTGTTGTGTCCAAGCTTCTGTTGTGTCCAAGCTTCTGTTGTGCCTAAGCTTCTGTTGTGTCTAAGCTTCTGTTGTGTCCAAGCTTCTGTTGTGTCTTAAGCTTCTGTTGTGTCTAAGCTTCTGTTGTGTCTAAGCTTCTGTTGTGCCTAAGCTTCTGTTGTGCCTAAGCTTCTGTTGTGTCCAAGCTTCTGTTGTGTCCAAGCTTCTGTTGTGTCTAAGCTTCTGTTGTGTCTAAGCTTCTGTTGTGTCTAAGCTTCTGTTGTGTCTAAGCTTGTTGTGTCCAAGCTTCTGTTGTGTCTAAGCTTCTATTGTGCCTAAGCTTGTTGTGTCTAAGCTTCTGTTGTGCCTAAGCTTCTGTTGTGTCTAAGCTTCTGTTGTGTCCAAGCTTCTGTTGTGTCCAAGATTCTGTTGTGTCTAAGCTTCTGTTGTGTCCAAGATTCTGTTGTGCCTAGGCTTCTGTTGTGTCCAAGATTCTGTTGTGTCCAAGATTCTGTTGTGTCTAAGCTTCTGTTGTGTCCAAGCTTCTGTTGTGTCCAAGATTTGGTTGTGTCTAAGCTTCTGTTGTGTCCAAGATTTGGTTGTGTCTAAGCTTCTGTTGTGTCCAAGCTTCTGTTGTGTCCAAGATTTGGTTGTGTCTAAGCTTCTGTTGTGTTCGCACATCACATATTTAAATCTACAAGAGGTCAATACTTAAACTGTTACACATTATTTTATTAGCGACACATTACAGCACGTTTTGATTTAATATTTAGTATTGAAATATGAGGTAGAAGATTTCTGAGAGATAATTGAGGATATAAGAAAAAAGCAGTACACTACTGCTGTAACATTACAACTGTTCAGTTTGCCACTAGCTTTAGCTTCTTGTGATCCATCTACAAGGGAAAGTCAATAAGTAAGTCACAAATGGTTGTTTAAAAAAACAAAACATTCAAGTAAATAACAACCTGAAGACAGTTTATTTTTACACATACACTGTCCTTTTATTTTTCAACATAATTTCCACCAACACTGATGCACTTGTTCCATCGTTTTATCAGTCCTTCAAAACCTGCTGCACAGAACTGTGTGCTCTGTTTTCTAAACCACATTTTCATTTCACATTCAACCTCTGCCTCATTCGTGAAATGTCTCCCGCTGAATTCTTGAATACAAGGAGAAGAAGGATGTTTCCATTGCATTGAAAGCAAACTTTTAATTGGGCTGGTAGTGATGCACCCATGATTCTTCCCTAGTGTTTTCTCCTTCATTTGCATATCGACAGAGACGCCACAAGTACAGATCTAATCAGTTCATTTTGTTTTTGTCAGGCAGTTGTCTGGGTATCCACCATGAGCAAACTTAAATTGATCATGCATTATATTGTATGCCTAACCATATGAGCACCCTAATGCAGCTGCTACAGAGTTAACCGTTACTCGCCTGTCACTTCTAATCCTCTCCTTCACCTGCTGCACAGATGTATTTGTCGCAATCTCAACAGGATGATCAGATCGGACTTTATCAACAATTTTAGAGCGTCCTTGAGAACATTGTTTACCCAGTTATGCACCGCTTTATAAGATAAACATTTGTCAGAATAAACAGGAATCATTTCCTTATGAATGTCCTTTGCAGGCAGCCATTTTGCCCCAGAGAAATTGCTCAACAGCATGTTTTTTTTAAAGGGTTAACTCCGTAAGTACAGTCAGCATTTTGTTTCTGTGTTGCGAATGCACATGCAACACCTAGCACCACCTAACGAATGCAGACATAAAGTTCAATGTTGCTGTCACCTAATGACACCTTTAGAAAATGCCAACTACATGTTCCTGCCATCCCATAACCATCTGTGACTTACTTTTTGATTTCCCTTTGTATTTCCTAGTGCAATGCAAAAAACATGAGGACGTACCTTGCTTGAGCCAGGCAACAAAAGCCTGCATACTGTGGACACTCCTGGTTCTTCAAACTCTTGGCTAAGCTTGCTGAAAAGTCAGTGAAACAGCAATTACCATAAAAACAGGGTAAATATGGTCCCACAGACAGGTAGTGATAACCTTGGCTACGGTTAATGGGATAAGTAACCAGTTCTATTTCCTTCAGGTCAACTGTAAGAAAATGTTGATACCAGTCTGTTCAGATAAGGTCCCCCCCAAACACATTCTGGGACTAACAGAGACTGGACATGGACCACTGTCATGGTAAGAAAGCTCACCATCTACTAAGCCACTTCTATAAAATTATTACAGATTTTATCAGATCATCATCATTGTTCTCAAAGTCTTTGTCTTTCCATAGCCTTCTGCCTCATGTACTTTCAACAATTCTGACAAAAAATATTATCCTCCATGACACGATGCCAAACTGTTTCCCTGCCGTCCTTCCCCTCTAGCTTCCCATATTTTCAGTATGTACTGCAGTTTTCCCCTTTTTATGATCAAAGAATGTAGACTGTTTCCTTCTTATGTGGATAATCAGTTCCATTATTACCACTATATTTAAAAACATTAACAAAATGTAACAAACAAATAAAAAATTTAAAAAAAAACCAGCCTACTGTACATATTCTTTTTAAAAAAAAAAACCATTCAGGATTAAAGAAAAGAAATTTTTTATATATTTTTCAGCTGAAGAATTTTAATAATGATGATAACAATAATACTGATGATAACAACAAACAGTTAAACCTGGTGAAGGAAACTATGGGAGATTTTTCTCTTGGAAATGACTAAATAAAACAAAGAAGATAACAAAAGTTGAAGAAAAAGTTATGATGAAAACAAACATAAACAATAAGAAAAAACACAGAAGTGTCAGCAAATAAGAAAACAACAGGTAACGAGCCAACAGCACAATATAATGCTCAAGTAAATTAGACACAGTTAAATTAATTATATTTGTGTAAATACTAATTAACTAGTACAGTATCACAATTTTAGAGATATGTGAAAAGCTCTTAGCAAGTAAAGTAAAAGTGTAGACACTAAGCAGGTATCAAGAGCTACTGGGTGCCTCAGACAGGATGGGTTTATCCAGGAAGTAGAAGACAATATTTGGCTATCCTCCGGCTAACGGTCAGCAAAGATGGCGGCCGCAAAATATCGAGTCGAGCCACAGTCACGTGTCAATTGCGTGCTTCCGGCTACTTAATTTGCGGTGTCCGGCGGTTTTCCACCAACAACCGCTACCGCCACGTGGCCCCCGCGCGGCGTGGATTGGGGCTAAACTAGATGGCTAGGACTCACGAGCAGCAGCTTCCGCATCTCCTGCAGTAAGTAGCTGGAAGCGCGCAATTGACACGTGACTGTGGCTTGACTGGATATTTTGCGGCCGCCATCTTTTCCGACCGTTAGTCGGAGGATAGCCCAATATTTATTAGTCAGGTGTTCAGAATAAGAAAACTTGTTTTTTTTTTGAGCATCAACTAACTACACGACACCTGGAAATGAAATGCCAGATAATGTAGCAAAAGCCATAGAAAACCTACAGCAGTCTGATTAATTTAAGAGCAGAAACAGCAGCAGTAGTAATAGTAGTAGTAGTAATAGTAGTAGCAGTAGCAAAAATTAAAAAAAAAAATCCTGTTTACCCTCATGGTTATAGTTGGGACATATAGTGTTTATCAAGTTTTCAGAGTATATATTTGTTATTTTAATATTATGCAACCATTTAAGGTAAATATCTAATTTGTCTGTTGCAAATATTGCTTTGATTTGGGTTGTAGTCAGGATATAAATTGTACTATGAATATTTATTTAATATTAATAACATTGCATCATTAAAATGGTTGGCTCATTATGCCTTTGGTCCAACAGACGGCATCTGTTACTTAAGCGTTGCCAATATGCTTCATAATGAACAGGCGGCGGATTTGATCGCTGCTGCGGAGAGTTTGTCTTGTGTTGGTTTCGACAGTGGTAATGAGAGTGACTGTTCAGAAAGCAATAGCAAACTACTAAACAAGAGAATTTGCCTAGAAAAATCACAAAGCCTCAAAGCAAAAAAAATGCTGGGGTTGGTTCTGCAACATCCTGTAAAGGATACACAACGCAACTTTTTAACAGTTGATTATCCACACTGATTTTAACTTTAGGAGAAACTTCTTTAAAGATGACATGGGCATTCTTGACCCTTCTAGATACAGATTGTATGTCTAGTAATAAATTGCTTGACCGTGCCACACGAGTCTCTGGGGGCTGTCTATGTGCAACAGTCACAGGTAATTTACAGAGATTTATATAGTTTTCTTTGGGTTTCATATTTTATAAACTCCAGCAAAAAAATAAATTCAAGGGCTTTAAATACAGCATCAACAAACTAAGCAGAAATGGACAGGCCATGATCTTCAGACTCAGAACTGGAAAAGGTATATTCCTAAATGCAAGAAATCTCATCACTGAGAAGCATGAAAGCAAACCTAAGGAGCTCATATGACAAAACAGATCAACCAGATCATAGGGGGAATCTTGCAGGGTATATTTGTGGAGACGGATGAAGACTACAAGTACACCACTATGCTCTTATTCTATGCTGAAACAATTGCATAATAAACCTCGATTGTTGAAGAAATGGTTTCTCCATGTGGGTTCTGGTGCCCTTTTGTGGGGAAAACAAGAATAGACCCACTGCTTGCCCAAAAGCATGTCGTAAGAGTCCACTGCCTGAGAGGCAAGGAACCAACAGTCTGCATGCAAATGAGTCAGACCTGTGAAATGGATGTGCAGGCAACACTCAGTTTCTGGACTAGACTCTAGAAGTGGAAGAACAATGCGAAGAAGAAGAAGAAATGGTTAAAAAAAAAACAAAATATACAATTTACAAAATGATCAACAAACAGCTTGTCACAAATCAAAGTTCTCACTTACCAAACTCTTCACTTCCTTCAGCAACATTTGGCTTTTTAAGAAATCGTCTGGTATAAATAAAATAAACAAGTAATACCATGGCAGACACTGAAGTAAAGGTTTGAAGTGTTAAACATTTGTATATACTGGGTGTGACTCAGGGTAGCACACCGTCCTGCCAGGCTAGTGGTCATGTGATCTGAACCCCTATCAATGCTGTGAATCTTTCATCACTGACCTTGGTTCCCAGGCTGGTCCAGCCTCAAGTTGCGCAAAACACAATTAAACTCACCGCCGAGCGTATCCACTGCGCCGCTACACGCTGCGCGGATGGGGGGCTAAACTAGGTGCCTGGGACTCATGAGCAAAGTAATTGGAGGAGTTGCAGGAGATGCGGTAGCTGCCCCTCGTGAGTCCCAGCCATCTAGTTTAGCCCCTATCCGCGCCGCGCGTGAGGCATAGTCACAGAAACAGGTCCGCAAGTAACATATCGCTGAGACCCTGTTAGAGCATTTGTTTCGTTATACGGAGACGCCATATTTTTAATTGGACTGCGCCCTGAACGGATATTTCAGGCCGCAATACTGCAGGGTAGAAGTTCGGAGGAGAGCCCCATTTTTAATGTACACAAGAGCTAAATGCCAATGCGTCGTACTTAGTTCAAACAAACTTTCAAATGATAATTCCCAAGCAACCAACAATAAATTGGAGACGATTTTCATATTTAAATTTAGGAAAATGATTTATTAATAATAATAATATAATAATAATAATAATTTAGAAAACCTTCAGATTTACAAACCTGAGACTGAGTTAGAATGAGAAAGAAAAAAGAAACATACACAAGCATTCTTACCATTATACTTACTTTTTAAGTTTATTCGTAACTGCTCTATATTTCATCAAAATATTGCTATCCTTTTCCATCTTAGCTTGTAATTTTATTTTTAAAAAATTATTCACAAAATGGCAATCCTTTCAAAAGAAATCAATCATAATTTTCTAGCAGACGTTCATCACAGCGAAAGCGGAAGTGGCACCACCGTTTGTGTTTTCTGTGCCCAAAACTTCCACAGACCACGACCTAATGAAAACTTCAACCTTAGAGAGCGCTAGCATTGCTACACACCAGTGTTGCCACTTTGGATCTTTTATATCCAAATTTAGATCTTTTTCATTGCATTTAGATCCTCTTTTTGACGTTTAGATCGTAAATATTTTTCTAGAAGCTATTCATATGGAGTTAGATATTTTATAGATTTTTTTTTTTTTCAGTGTCAATTTAATAATTACTGTGTAAAATATTTACTACAATATTTTTGTTTTGTTCTGGCACGTACATTGTGACAACTGCCATTACTTGAACTTTGAACTCCCTATGGGGTCAACGCACAAATATCTTGCAGCCCCGGTACTGATTAATAAAAACGCGCGTAAATCATACTAACTTTGTTTCAACCGTATCCTCACTGTGCTGACTTTGTGTTTCTTTTTCATGTCATTAAAAAAATATAATTGCTCACCTTCTTATGTGGCTTTCACTTTGAAAAAACCTTTCAACATGCCAAAAGTAAAGTATGAGCAAAAAATTTGGAAAGAGTGGTTGCATGGTACGACAAAATTAAAAACTGGGGATATGACCAAAGCTTGTTGTAAATACTGCAAGTGTGAAATTAAAGCGAAAATACAAAACTCAAAGAGTCATGCAGAGACTAAAAAAAAAAAGCATAAAACTGCAGTTCCATTTAAAGATATTACACCGCTGACATCTGTTTTCAGATCTATACTGATAAATGAATCATCAAAAGTTGAAGTATCAGTCGCAATGTTTTTAATTTGTCACTATGCAATTTCAAACTGTGACCATTTGATCGATTTGTTAAAAAATCTTGGACTAGTTCAATTTGAAAAGTGTGATGTAGAAAGTATAGTTTAGGAGCTGAAGGACCTTCTAATCAGAAAACAGTTAGGCTTGAAGAGTTTGGCTGCAATCGGTACTGATAATGTCTCAGTGATAGTTGATATAAACAATGGCATTTATGCCAAGTTGAAGGAAGCTAACCCATCGTTAATACTTACAAAATGTATGCGTCATTCATTGCAGCTAGCATTATCACATGCTTCATCTAAATATTTACCAAGGAATTTGGAATACCTTATTGCTGAAACACTTTACTGGTTTTCCAAATCATTTGTCAGACAACAGCAATACAATATATTATATACAGCCTTGAATGATGGTTCCACACCACCGAAAATTCTGTCAGATTGCAAAACTAGATGGTTATCAATTTAACCAGCTGTTGAAAGAAATATGAAGCAATGGTTTAAGTTGAAGAGACTCTTTGAAATAACAAGACAAAGTGAAAAGTGCTACATAGCTGAAATACTATATGGAATGTACAGTGATGAACAAAAATTGTCATTCATTCTCTTTTTATAACCTATTATAATGGAAGTGCAAAAAGTTAATAAACTGTTCGAATCTAAACATGTTGATAAAGTTAAATTACTTGATGATCTCACTTTGCTATTTCACTCAGTTGGTAAAAGACTGGTGTTGCCAACTTCTAAAGCTGATTTGCTCACTTGTACTATAGAGAGCTATTTGGCTCCTAAGCCACACCTTGGATATTGAAGCGAATCAAAAATTGATGATTAAAAAACAAAAGGACTGTTAACAGAGAATGAAGAGAACAACTTAAGAAAACGCTGTCAAGATTTCCTTATCTCATTATTCAAGCAACTGTAGCAGAGACTTCCTGAAAATCTAGATGTTTTGAAAAATATTTCACTTTTTTTCTGTGAGCAACATACTTCAGCCAATAAAGAACATACCTAAATATTGTAAAGTTATGACATTTTTAGGGGCTGCTGATAATAGTGTCGCGGAAGCAGAATATCAGTTAATCAAAATAAAGTTAGCTGAATGGACAAACAAAACAGAAACTAAAGCGTTTTGGAGTGAAGTGAGACAATTTAAAGATGCCTCATCAAACAGTCCATTCTGTAAGCTCTTTAAAAGTGCCTTGTCTGCCATGATACTACGCCACTCAAATGCTGACGTAGAAAGAGTTTTCAGTGCTAGGAATTATATCAAATCTAACTTAAGAAACAGGATGCGATTTGACCTCTTAAATGCTATCGTGCCATTAAAATTCGACCTGATGAGACTGGAGAAATAAGCCTACTTGTTCCACTTATAAAGAAATTTGAACAGCTAAAGCATACCAGGGTCATTTTGGATCTGAAGCTTCAACTTCATTATCCAAGCTAAGTTAATCCTGTGGATCTTGTGAGGCAGACATCAGTGAAGGTGAGGACATAATTATGTAGGGTAAGTCATAACAAAAGCTATGTAATTTTTGACTTTTTCAATTTGGATATTTTTTCAACATCTTTTCCATGCAGATTTAGATCGTTTTAGATATTTGTTGACACCGTTTTGGATATTTTTTGTCAAAGAAAAGTGGCAACACTGCTACACACTATACACAGGTCCTTGTTGACTTCGCATGCTGCAAGACTCCGGCAATCGTTTCTCTTTAATAACATTTGTTTAAATTGCCTATGAGAACGTTGTGGTTTCAATACATTTCAGTTCATAGTAATTTCTTCAAATAATAAATTTGCCTTATAATTAACGAGGAAGCAAGCTTATCGAATAGTAGTTAAAATATAAAAAAATATTCAGTTTGTGGCAATAATAATAATTGCCAGGCAATCACAGAGTGAGTTACTAACTGAACGTGATAAATCAAATATATTTTATCTAGTATTATTAGTTTAGTATTTAGAATCATAAGATTACAAGAATTTTAACAGAAGAGACTAGCAAGCCAGTATATTTAATATTTAACTTTGCAGATAATATATTATTTTTGCTGAAGTCTTGACCTCAGACTATGTCTGGTCTGAGACTTGATTGTAGTTTAGTATTTTAGTCACTTTCACTTTTTAAAAATTTTGAGTGTGATATATATATATATATATATATATATATATATATATATATATATATATATATATATATATATATATATATATATATAAGTGATGCCAGTCTTACTACTGTTAGCGATCTATTGGTAAACTTTTACTGTATCCAGGGCAGTCTTTTCTAGAAACAAAGGGGCAGGTACTCACTAGTACTACAAAGCGACAGTAGTTGAAAATAAAGAAAACAACTCATGTAATCCCAGTACTTTAGTATTATTATCATCATCAAGTGCCTTGTCAGTAGGCATTCGAGCAACTCCACATATCTCGGTCTTTGGTGTTCTCGATCAATTCCACTGATGACATTTCTCCATGCCACTATCTTAAGCCATCCACCATCATTTCTCTTGGTCTGCCTCTTCCTCTCCTACAGTTATATCTTTCATCGTCATATTTTCCAGTGCCCTTTTTCTCATCACATGACCAAAGAACTTTGTCTCCTTCTCATTGTTGTATAAAATGTTATACTTGTATGTATACATACCTAATTTTAATTACAAGACAAATTCTCCTTCTTACTAAATATGGCCTGATGGGTGAAATCAGAGGCTCGGCGTACTTTCGTCAATATACCCCATTCATATGATAAAAAATAATGTCCTCTTGAAGTATTGACAGTTGCATTTAAAAAAATGTTACAGTGGTGGCAGATTTAAAAATAAAACTAATTTTTTTCAAAATGCAGCTTTGGTGGGTGACATGCTCAGCTCTGGATGTGAGGTGATAAGGCAGGTAAACATATCTGAAAATAACCACTCTGTAAAGAGCAAATGCACATGAAGAAGAGGAGGAGGAAGAAGCAGGTTGACTACTAACTCTACCACAAAACATTATAGCTTTTACACACAATCTTGCAGCTATTATCCTATTAGCAACCATCAGAGGAAAACTAAGACCAGCAGTAATCTGTTGCATTATGACAATTAAAGAAAACAATTTAGTAATCAGTTCTTTTATCCTGTATTTCAGAAAGCAGTTCTTGAACTGACAAAGAAGTTCTTGATGCCTGAGAAACACCCACATTCCATTATCAACATGACAGAAGAAAGTGTTGAAAACAGTGGCTTCAGATTCTGGAGAACTACTCTCAAGTCTTGTAAATATGTTGTGGCACCAATGGTGGATCAGAGTGAACTAGCATGGCGCATGTTAAGTCGGAACTATGGTGCTGAACTGTGCTACACTCCGATGTTTCATGCTTCATTATTTATCAAAGACGCAGTCTATCGCAGGGACTCACTGCAGATCTGTCCAGAAGATCGACCACTGATAGTACAGGTAGGTTTTGTTGGGCCATGATGCTTCCACTCTTACCGCTTCTGTCAGTTTATAGAAGGAAGGGGGAGTGGGCAGTACAACATAAGCGATAATACAACCATTTTCACAGAACGCCCAAGTGGGGGAAAACCAGTATGATATTTAAGGAATACAATTTGCTCAAAAAATTTGACATATACCTTATAAATTGTGGACTGAATAGCTCACAGAGACAAGCTTCTGCAGTAAGCTAACTTACGTGAAAAACAATAGCAAAGAAGAAGTCATAAATTCCAAATTATTTTATAATCTGTGTTGAATTTATATTTATATCTGTTGTTCAGTTCTGTGCCAATGATCCGGAGACTCTGCTTAAAGCAGCCAAGTTAGTGGAGCCGTTCTGTGATGCCATTGATTTGAATCTCGGCTGTCCTCAAGTTATTGCCAAGAAAGGTCACTATGGAGCATTCCTTCAGGATGAGTGGGACTTGCTGGCTAGAATGGGTGAGTTTGGCACGTTTTATGCTGTGTGTGTGTCTTTAATATGCTGGAGGCAAAGTTTGAGGGGTAGTGAGCAAGAGATCAATAGTCTTACATTAGATTATCAGTCGTGGTCCCCCAACTTTAGGAAAACAGATCACCCTATAATTGCTCTGATCCTATGTCAGTGAAACCCCACACAGAGTTCTTATCACATCCCTTGTTAAAAGTCAAACAAATAGTAGTCCAGGCTAACCCAACAGCCCACAAACACATTAATAAGACAGCTGCTAGAGGTGCTGACACCAACAGTCTGTCGCTAGAATTGCAGTTCATAGTAGCCAGAAACAGCAGTCAGAATAAACCGGCAGGTTTGCAGCGTTACTGAACGAGGTGTACAGCCGGTTCTGTGGCAACCAGTCATTCACATCTTTCTGAATTTGCAGTTTATAACACATATCTCCAGGGGCAATGTTACATGTGGCAGGAGCAGGACAGCATTGAAAAATGAAAAAGAGGCCTGGGTACACAGTGAAGACACAGAATAGAGGATGTTAAAATAGATGCCTGGGTACACAGCGAAGACACAGAATAGAGGATGTTGAAATAGATGCCTGGGTACACAGTGAAGAAAATGAATTACACTACAAATTAGAATCAAGAAACTAACATATTTACTTTGTGAAGACACAGAATAGAGGATGTTAAAATAGATGCCTGGGTACACAGCGAAGACACAGAATAGAGGATGTTGAAATAGATGCCTGGGTACACAGTGAAGAAAATGAATTACACTACAAATTAGAATCAAGAAACTAACATATTTACTTTGTTATAAATGTGTTGAGAAAAGTAAATTTTACAAAGGGTAACCACAAGAAGCATGATGAGTTGCTGCTACTGAGAGGTTTAAACAGTTCTGCCCTGTGAAATCTGGGAGGTTGACCTTTGCAGTCAGCGAGAGGGGTTGGGGTGGGGGGGGGGTGCATTCCTCTTACAAGTATTTGATTATGGTTGTGAGCTCTGCTTATGATACCAGTTTAAATCCAAGGACTCGCTGTTTTAACATGAACAAGTATATTATTTGGTTTCAGTGCGTATCTGCCATGAGAATCTCAAAGTTCCCATCACTTGTAAAGTTCGAATATTTCCATCCGTTGAGAAGACAGTTGAGTATGCCAAGATGCTAGAAGAAGCTGGTTGTCAGGTATTCATTGTCTCTTTAGTATGGTCTATTAATTTGATAATATTTATAGCCAGTCACAGCAACTTTCTGCTGGCATAGTTGCCAGCGGTGCACACATGTCGTGATTGTAACCGACTCACGAAGAATGTTAAAAAAGGTGGAGACTGGAATGCTTCTTGCAGAATGGTAGGCAGAGGTCCTGGATAGTTAGCATTCTTTGGTTATTTCTGCAGGAATCTTGGAAAATGAACTGACAGACAGATTGGCTGGTTCTACGCAAATAGATGGTGAATTTATGCATGAAAAGCTAGAGATGGTCAATTATGGTCAAGGCCATTTAAGAGGAAATGAACAATGCAGAGACACAAATAGATTTTTTATGGTCTGGAGATACTGGTAGAGTTAACCAGGGAATCTGGTTGACACTCTGCACTCAGGGGATAGGCATAACAGACATGTAATCAAATTGCTGCTGCCACCATCGGACCTGGAGCTCTTCGCTGGCTGCTGAAAATGAGGACAGAGCATGTATGGGAATATCCCTAGTGCTGTAATGTCAGTTCTTAGCTTAATAAGATTTTTACAGAACAGACCAAATCAGCTTCTTTTTTTAAAACTACGCACTGAGCATTACAGACTCAACGGATACTCAAATAAATTAGGTGGGAGCCAAACAGCTCTTTGCACTTGTTTTCATTGTGAACTGACACCAGAATATGTTTTGCAAGACTGTCTTTTCTGAATGGGGCTGCGAAGCGACATGTGGCTACACCCAGTCGACCGGACAACTAAGCTTTTGCAAAACCTAAGAGACCACAAGCTGACATCCGTTTTTGGCCCATAGTTAAGGGCATGGCCAGATAATGCTAAAAAATGATCTCATCTTCACTTCTAGACACAATTCCACTTATATGGTGACCTGCTGCAACACAATAATAGTAATATGTCCATTATTTATTCTCAGTGAATACTAATAGATAAAATATTATTGTAGATCTGTTCTGTTTCTTGTCTTCCAGCTGCTGACAGTTCATGGGAGGACCCGAGAGCAGAAAGGCAGACTGACTGGGGTAGCTGATTGGTCCTACATCAAGGCAGTCAGGTAATGTGTGTGGCATGTCTTATTACAGTATTTTTTAAAGAAAAGATGTGCAGCTAGGTAAATAAATAACATTGATGCCTAATTGCTGATATTTGCAGACATCGTCAGTCATCATTTGGTTCTGTCCCAGTATTTGTATTCCTCTTTTTCTTACATTTGTTCCTGATGCAAATCTGCTATATCCTTCAACTTTGACATGAGGGCATGACCCCCAGGGTCAGGCACTTGGGAGCTGGATCAAACGACCATTCTGTAGTGCACATTGTATTCTTGAGAACTATCTAGCTGATATCACATGTATTAGAAATATAGCTGTGTCTTAGCCCTTTCATCCCAGTAACCTGGAAAATAGCCAGTTGCTCACATTTAGGGAATGCTACTATACGGTTGTCTGTAAAGAGACATTTACAGGGGATTAGACCTAACCAGAAGTGTTAGGTTTGTCTCTTCTGAGCGTAAAAGGGTTAAATAACTCTGGATTACATGCACAGGCTCCACTATCCTGGCTTTGGGAACACAGCCTGGCATTTACACATACCAGAAATATTGCTGCGGTACTGTAGACAGAACTTCTGCTTTGTGAGCCCTCTAAGAAGAAACTAGGCTGGGCGCTTTGAAGTAATATCCAGATGTGTTTCCAACAGATCCAACATCTCATGAGTCATAGCTTTTAGTGGTGGAACAAACTGACTTAACCAATGGCAGATACTTTCCAGAATATTGCTTTCACGACAGTGTGCTCAACTTTCTTATTGCTCTCATGACAGTGTGCTCAACATTTCCCATTGCTGAACCTTGTCATGTTGCTATATGGTCACCAAGCAGTTGTTACTGCTCTTTTTTAAGCTATTGGAACTCTGCACTGGCTGTTGAAGATGAGGACGGAGCACACAGTTGAATGCCCTTAGTGCTGTGATGTCAATTCTTGACTCAGCTCCACTCAAGCTTCTATTACCGCCCTTTTCTTTCTAAGCAACTATTACATCTTTTTCTATGAGCTGTTATGGCACTTTCCGAGCAGCTATTACTGCTTTCTTCAGGCACCTGTTACTGCTCTTTCCAGGCAGCTGTTACTGTTATTTCTTAACAACTGTGATGTTTAATATTGGCCTGAGTATTTCATTTGGCAGTATATGTCATCAGGACATTATCATAACAGTGATGAGATTTATGCACACACATTTCAGACTGTCATGTCAGTGAGACAGTTTCTCACTGAATGGTGTTGACTGATTTTGCAGAGAGGCTGTGAAAATTCCGGTGTTTGCTAATGGCAATATACAGTACTTGAGTGATGTGCACAGGTGTTTGCAGGAGACAGGTGCACAAGGTGTCATGAGTGCAGGTAACTTTATAATTATCCATGTTTTTTTTCCAGTTGTGCATGTTTGCAGCCTAGTTTTTTTGGGGTGGGGGGGGGGGGGGGGGGGTGTTTTGTGGTTGACACATCTGACTTCATTGGGCATTTGTTGCCCGTGTTAGTATTCATGGTAGTTTCATGTAGGGCTGTACCGAATAGTGATTTTCACTATTCGGCCGAATACTAATAGTGCAACCAACTATTTGGCAGAATACGAATAGTATATCATCATCATCAGGTGCCTTGCTGAATGGCGTGGGCGATTATCCCGCCACAATCTGTGATTCTCCTTCAGCATGTATTAGTTTGTGTGCTGACACACCTCCATGCCACGCAAAAAAAACTGTTAAGGATCTTCTATCATTGTCTTCCTCTATCTCTCCTTCCACAGATCTTTCCAGTGGTCACCACTCCCACCTCTTTCAAAACCATCGTTCGCTCAGCTGTTCGTTCGATGTAATTTAAACTAGAGCTGTACCAAATAGTGATTTTGCATATGCGACCAACTAATCCGCCGAATACAAATAGTGTACAGTGTATACAATATATCTTTAAAAAAAAAAAACACTCACAATGTCAAATGTATGCTGAACTTTTCCTTTACATAAAGTAGCACAGAATAGTCATCTTTTTCTTTTGCATTCTGAGCCCTTGAGGTTTACTGCTGCAGATATCACTCGTCTCCATTCATCTCTCTGGCTGGCCTTATCTTCACAATTTGTGATATCAGTTGTTTGCAGGTCTGGCTGGACATTATCTCCCGAAATTCTTTTTTTGTCTGCCTCGTGGTCTACGTCCATCCTCTCTCAGGTGTCATCTGACATTCTTTCAATATGCCCCAACCATTTTAGTCTATTAGCTTTCATGATGCCAGTGATCAATGGTGATTTAAACATATTATGTGTTACGTTGTTGCTTTTCACTCTCCATTTCTCGCTGTTAGCATCTTTCAAAGATTTGTCGTAAGACTGTTTTCGAAAACCTGTAATAAGGCCTCATCTCTTTTATTTCTGCTTCAAGTTTCAGAGCCATATAAAACGACTGGTCTTATCAACGTTTTATATTTTTTTATCTTGATGTTGCAAGAGAGACACTTTGACTTTAGCAGATCTTGAAGGGCATAGTATACTTTATTTCTAGATTGTATTCTAGATTGTATTTCTTCTTTCAGCATGTTGGAGCAGTTGAAGTTTGCACCCAAGTACTTATATGTTTCCGTTCATTTGATTTTCATATTGTCGACTTGGATGTGGCTGGAGTTTATATTCTTTCCCTGTCTAGTTAGTATTCATACAGAATAGAATCTTTCCATGTTGTCAGCATTAAGGCAATGTATGCAGAAGCGGGTGTAAGGTAACTACTATTAGTGTTTGGCTCGACAGCAACTATTCGGCCGAATACCGAATAGTCAATAGGTCAACTATTCGGCCCCAAAGCGAACACGAAGCGAATATTCGGTACAGCCCTAGTTTCATGTGAGATTGCATTGCCTCTTCTTCTTTTTTGTTCACCAGTTGTAAACTGTAGCAGAAAGTTCTGGTTTTTTATCCTTTTCTGGACTCTGGTCTTGTTCCAGAACATGGCATTGCCTCATCATTGTGTCGTCAGCTTTACCATCTGGTCTATGGGTGGTGACCCATCTAGGACACCCTCTAGGAAAGCAAGGGCAGAACATGGGCATTTCTTGCAGTTCAAGAAGACTTCCATCCATAAATACAGAACCAGTGCTTGGTGCGTTGTCATCTCCAATGGACAGACACTGAGGACTCCTATACTGTTATTCTCTGTTATGTTTTGTTTGGTTAAAAAGTGTCTACTTTCACCTTATTTCCTCTTGAAGCATCCATATTCAGCTCAAGTTGTCATCATTACACATTATTCCTACATTTTGAGCCATGTTTGTCATTGCCTCCTCTGGTTGCTTTTATGTTTGTGTGTGTATATATATATATATATATATGCATATGGAGATCACAGTGCATGTTTACCCTGACAGGTTGGCAAGGCTCTTGATAATGGTGATGTAATTATTGTGTACTTTTCTACATTTTTTCACTTTACATTTTTACTGTATTAATGGTCAGTACGAGGTTGACCGGCAAAAGAAATATAAAAGTAGCACTTGTGAGAACACGCTGCTTTCATGCAATGTCATACATGCTTGTGCCAAGGACCATTTCACAAAAATATGTTAAACATAAAATCTAGGATGGCTAACCTGGGCAAAAAATGTTTTAGTAGTCAGATGTGTAGGTGAAAAGACACAAATGCCACAGCCTTGCTATAAACAATACAGCAGCTACGGGCACAATGCTGTTATGTCCAATGAAGAATAAAAAAAGAACATAAATTCACTTTGAATACTATATATCTAGAAGAGAAAAAACATGCTGACGTTCTGAAGGATGTGAAAACCAAAGAAAACACAACTCATAACAACAGCATTATGTCTGAGAAACTGAAAATGCTTTGGACATAATAAATGGCACAGTAACTTGACAGTTAGCAGCAAAGATCAGGAATTAGTTGCAGCAAGATTTCTTTGCATTTGACAGCACAAATTATTCTAGTGTTGTTTCGGTACTCATCTGTTGTTACATTTTTTATTTTTATTTTAGAGGGAAACTTGCACAATCCTGCACTCTTCAGTGGAAAGAGTCCAAATATCTGTGATATAACTATGGAGTATTTACACTACACAGATCTGTACCCGTGTCCTTTGTCGTATATACGAGGTCATGTTTTCAAAATATGCCATCATGCGTAAGTTAAATTAGTTTATTTTATATTACTTAAGAATTTAAATAACGCGGAAACAGTCGTACATTGCACAATTTGTTGCCAAGAATTTTCTTCTTTATCTCGTATTTCTTATAATGAAATTTTGGCTAAAAAATCAAAAGCTTTTCTCAGAAGCTGAAATATTGTAGAAATAACAAACGCCACAGCATATTGAAATAAATATCACAAGGCACGGTACCAAGAAGGAGGGCAGGGGTCGACCAACATGAAGTTGGGCACAGGTTGTAAGTGACTGCTTGGATATGAATGAAGGTGGTGGGTGAACTGGTGAGATACCGAGTTTCTTTTTGTCAGACTGTGATGAGAGCGACATTCTGCAAAGGACATGCTACATGATGATGACGGCATGTTAAATTGTGCAGTGTATTGTTGTTTGTTTCCGCATTATTTAAATTCGTTAGAGAAAAATTGTTTTGAATTACTTTGGAATGCCCAGTTCTGGTCTGTTGCAGATGTCTGCCTCATAAACAGGATGCCAGGGATTGTGTTGAAAGTATGAAATAGCAGCAGGGATTAAACTGATCATCCCAGCTTATAAATTACCTATTAGAAATAATGTCACATTATAACTTTGGCATTATTTTTATTGAGACTGCTCTTGTTTGTAGACCTTTTTTGCACTTTCTGTTGTGCAGGTTAGAAACATGTCATAACTTGGTTTAACTCGGTGCCAAGCAAGTCTACCTGAGTTGTTTGTTTCAGTCAGTTTACTTTGCTGAACTCCCTCTTATGGAGGATCATCTGTGTCAGCGTTAATTGAAACATGAGACAGAAGGTTGGTATAGACATGATTACCAGTGCCACACGACAAGGACTTTGAGATTTGAAGTATCAATGTTGAGATCATGCATCTTTCCATGGCAACTTGTTAATGTGACAGACTCTTAATCATGCATTTAAAGAAAAGAAATTACTGTTTGAACTGAAATGCCACAGACAAATTCTGAAAATACCATGGACCAAGAAGAAGTTGTTGTTGTTGTTATCGATCCAGCGGCGCATGAGCTTTCGCCCTTTGGCCCAATGCCATGTAGTGGAATTTGCATGTTTTCACAAGCTATTCTTTTCCTCCGTACAAGGTGTTCCACTTGTCTGGTCTCGGAGGGAGTAGCGTTCTTCTTGTCTCACTGAGTTTTGGGCACTCAAAGAGATGGTGTTCAACAGTTTCGTAGGGGTAGTTACATAGCTGGCACTCTGGGGAGTGTTGTGGCTGTATTCTGTTTAGGTGTCCATTGAGTGGAGTATGTTGCGTTCTAAGTCTGAAGATGGTGGCCTGGTCCCTTCTTGTTAGATGGTTAATGCTGTCATTAGGATCAGGGCCAGACATATGTCTATAAACCTCTCTTCCAGTGTCTCCCATGGCCCATCTGTTCAACCAAGTCTCTTTGTTTATAGCTCTTATCAGTGTTTTTGCTGTCTGGAGGGTTGTCGCTCTAGGTGGTTGTTCTTGTGTTGCTCCTTTCTTTGCCAATCTGTCAGCTCTGTCATTACCTGGTGTGCCGGAGTGACCTGGAATCCACTGCATCACTATTCTGATGTTGTATGAGGTAATAAGCTGATCGGCATCCAGGATTATCTTGGCTATGTCAGTTCTGCAGCGTTCATTGCCCTCCAGAGCTTGAAGGGCAAACATTGAATCTGTGAAGATGACAATATTTTGGACCTTTGAGGGGTAAACATCTATTACAGTCTTTAGGTGGTATACTGCTGTTTCCAGTGCAATTATTTCAGCTTCATAGTTTGAACAGAATTCCCCGCATGCATCAAAATCTCTTCAACAGATCCATCGGGATAACCTATGTAGATTCCGTAACCTGCTTTAATGGTAGCTTTAAATGCTGATCCATCAGTATAGACATGTATCCAACCAAGAAGAAGTAAACTGCTGGCGTCAGCATGATTTGAGCATGTAGAGAATTGGCTCATAAACAGTGCCCTGTCCCAAAAGCTAAGGTATTTCAGTCATATTAAATGTCATGATGGCCTGAAAATGAGGCAAAGGAAGATCTTAGACACGACATTGCAAATGCTTTTCTATGAAAGCACAGAGAGCTGGTCAATTGGCTATAGAAAATGCATAAAATAAAGACTGTTCATTGTGCCTGTCAGAGAGGGCCACAAACACCTGAGCACATTCTGCAGACCTCTCCACTCTACCTACAACTTTGAAAAGAAACCTGGCCTCAAGAACGAAACTGCTGCTGACATGCGAGTTCATAGAGGCAACCCACCTGATGGTCTGATCTGAGCATACGAAACCGAATGCAAAGAAGAAGAAGGAGGCTAAAGAGAGACTTTGATGCATGAAATATCCAGAGCAGTGTTCTGTAACCCACTTCTTCTAACCCACTCTACCAGTTTTCACTTTAACCAATTCTTTCTGACAGTGTAAGTCTAGCTCATCAGACAGACGGAAATATGTTATAGTATGTTTCAAAACTCGTGCCCTCACACTTTAACAAATATCTCAACAACTTCTGTACAGATTAGCCCGAATTTTGCGTGTGCTCTAAGATTTCCCCTGTCCTTATGATATACAGTTGCACAGGTGTTGCTGCTTTCCTTAAGCAGTGGATTTCTTTGATCTTTGTTTGGCTAATAATGTGTGCACCCATAAAAGAATCGAGTGTATAATAATTGACACACGCATAGATATTATGTGGAAGTCAGTTCACATGTGCAGCAGTGCACAGTAATTATTCTAATAGCCAATCCAGCATACAATGAAAATTGTGTTCCTGTAGGTCTTTGGAGGCTAACCTTGATATGACCACCTGAGTGTGAAACACCTTTGAAAGGCATACAGATTGATGTTTTGAATAGTTCCTGTTACATAGTTAATGTAAGCATGCTCATTGCTTTGAGTCTGTGTCTGTTATTTTCATATGCCGCAAGTAAGGCAAAATGAAAACTACATTTTAAAACAATTTTCTCACAAGGAAATTATTATTAACAGGTTGCATGCCAAATTCCAACAACTTACACCGAATTGTTACTGACTTTTTTTAAGTTGGGCACGACTTCTTTGTTACAGAATAACTTCTTTGTGTGACAAGGGGGAGTACATCCAGTTTGGCATTGTAATGGTTAAATACTACTTTTATAATATTATTATAAAGTATCTTCTTATCATAAAAGCCGTGTTACTTATCTTTGATTATCACTTTTCTAGCTTGACAATTCATCGAGATGTAAGAGACCTAGTAGCTTCAGCCAAGTCTGTACAAGATATAAAAACAGCAGCTGAAAAATTGAAAATTTCTTGTCAGGTATTTTGTGAGACAGCTGTCTACTAATTGAATGTTGCAATGGGTAGTAGATAGACCACAATGATTGTGTGGTTGGTTCAGCTTTATGTACCTTTGCCAGATGGCTTGTTTCATAGACCCGGACAACTGGGTCGCTGAACCTAATTTTGTCCAGGGACAAAGAGACTCCCTGTGAGCCTGTGTAGAAATTGTGTCGAGGGACCATGAGACTCCCTGTGAGCATGTGTAGAAATTATCTTTAAAAATATTTGTTTATACATATATCATTTCACGCATATTTTTTTGCTGTTTGCTAATAATGATAAGAAGAAAAATTCTGTGTTGAATACTTTACTTACTTACATAGTTGATCCTGTTCTACCTTAGGGTGTAGAGGTTTGCCAGGCTTCTCTATCTGCAGTTTTTTGTGTTGAATATAGGACTTTTCGTGCCTTCAGGCACATAGGGTGGGATGCTGACCACATCACCCATTTTGTGCTATTGGTCTATGAAATATAGGTCTAGCCCTATATGCCCGATTCACTTGAAAGGGGTGGAAAGGGGTTCTTTACTTTTACTAACTTTACATAAATTTTTATAGACCAATCGGCACTCTGTGGGTGATGTTCTCAACATCATGCCAACCTCCTTTACTTCCCAGGCCTATGTTGGATGACAAATAAAAACATTAATATTCTTGAAATAATATGAAATCTATAAATATAAATACCTTTGAAAAGTATTTCTATATATGGTTAAAGGGGACCTCTTAGCCCTGTCATAAATCTCACCACCAACATGAATTATGTGTGTATGTATGTAAATGTGTGCAGTATTTCTGGATTGTTGTTCCAACAAGTTTAATTTTTTTGGGGTTATCCTCCAAATAACGGCCACATATTATGGCGGCCAAAAACACACCCTGACAGGGCCTCAGTCACATGTAAATTGCGGACTTCCAGTGACTTAAATTGCAGACCGGCGACTATACCACTACCGCCGAGAGTATCTCCCGGGGCTAAACTAGATGGCTGGGACTCACGAGCAGCAGCTTCCGCATCTCCTGCAGCTTTGCTCGTGAGTCCCAGCAATCTAGTTTAGCGGCATGGGAGATACTCTCGCCGGTGGCGGTATAGTCGCCGGAAGTCCACAATTTATATGTGACTGAGGCCCTGTTTTGGGCAGCCATAATCTGTGGCCGTTATTCAGAGGATAGCCTTTTTTTTTTCTTCAAATATTTATGTGATGTTAAAATGATTATATTTCATGAGGGTAAGAGCTATTCTGTGGCTTAATCACCTACATCAATTAGCAAGACGCTTGATGTTGATTTTGTAATACTTATTCTTCTCCTGCCATATTCATCTTCCAGTAGAGTTTAGGCTCTGAACCACTTCCTGTCATTCTTTATCTGTACATTTGTTCATGACTAGCAGGAGTTTGCAGCTGAACCCTTTTTTTTTAGGGCTGTGGGGGTGAGATAACTAGTGCCGGATCAACCTTCCTTAGTAGCTTTGTATGATGTGCATGATAGGATAAATGATTTGTGCATGCATTTCACCAGTCATGCTTTTGTGTTTTTCTTTGTATTCATTATATGCATATTGTTATCTGATCATAATATGCTTTATTGATAATACATAACTGCTGTGTGAAAGATGGGTGTTTGGAAGGGATGAATGTAAGACGGGCCTGAGTGGCCAATTTTTTAACCCCTTGAAAACAATGCTTGTTCCCTCATTCATTTGTTGCCACATTTTGGCCTGTCATGGACACTCTTTCTGATGTCATGGATTGAATCCTCATTTGTGTTCACCAGCTGTAAACTTCGGCAGAAAGTTCTGATTGTTCATCTACTTCTGGACTTTGGTCGTATTTCAGAATTGGAGTTTTGTATGCAGACTGTTGGTTCCTTTCCTCTCAGGCAGATGCACTCCAACTTTGAAGGATACACCCCTAGTCAACTCTAAGATTGAGGTTTGAACAACGGATCAACATCATGGCACACGAGTTATACCCATTAGTGCTCTGTTCTTCTTCTAACTGAAGTCGAAAGAAGCACAGTGAACAGGCTCTGTAGTAGCACGGGCGAGGATCATGAAATACTTTGGAAATACTCTGATGTTGTGCTTGTTAGGAGGTAGTGAGTCTGTTCTTTATTTAACTCTTCCCCCCCCCCCCCCCCCCCCCCCCCGCCACCCCACTAGGCTCCGGAACCCACACAGGGAGGATAGAATTTAGACCAAAAACTTTGGCTTCTCTCAGTAGCATTCCATTTAGTGTTTCTCCTGGATGTTCTCAGTTAATCAGTTCCATGTTTCATTCAGGATTTTAAAAGCTGTGGTTGCCTTGCCAATGCATATCATAATTTCTTTTGTTGTGGTTCCTTGACAAAATAAAAGTTACTACCTAAACATATATAGCAGGCAGTTATATCTACTTCACCAGGCTGATATTGATCGTTATGAACTGCAACCAGAATTATTCACAACAAAACTCAAACTGCCATTGCCTTATTGGATTTGTCAACCATATGTTAGACCAGGGTAAGTCTACACAATGTGAATGTAAACGTACTGTGTGTGTGTGAGAGAGAGAGAGAGAAACATTCAAGTATTCAATAACTATGCCATTGTTCCATTAACCTACTGACTACCAAGCCTGTAAACCCTTGCACTTTGCCAGATTCCGTATACTTTAGTGTCTACTTAAAATGCTGTAGCTTCACAACGATTTGATGTAAACTCAAAATATTTTGTATTTTTACACCAATTTGAATGGAGAACAGATTTCAAGAATTAATAACTTTATAATCTTATTTTGATGTCATCATCACATGGATATGGGGGGGGGGGGTTGAAAAATCTATTAATAACCCAAAAAAATATGTAATCTTGTTTTACATCGTCATTATCATGTGGCTGTACATTGGTGCAAAAAAGGCAACCCAAACATCGGAGTGCATATGCCTTAGAGGCAAGGAACCAGCAGTCTGCCTACAAATAAGCAAAATCTGTTAAACGGTTATGCATGCAAAACTCAGTATTAGGAACAAGACTAAAAAGTCAAGAAGTGGACAAACAACCTGGAGTTTACAGCCAGTGAACGAGAAGGAGAACAAGAACAATTTCCCAGTAATGAAAGAGCAGATGTGTTGTTAAAAAAAAGTTGTCACAAGAAAATAAAATTTTGAAATAAGAACTTTGTTTAACACATTGTTAAAGAGGACCATACAAACACGGCACAGCCTTCATTTGAAATAAAGAAGGCAGGATCAGTACAGCAAATAATTTTGCATTGGCTAAAAACCCGATAGTGGTAACGTTTTGATCTGCAAAAAGAGAATGACTTCCTTTCCCATTCATACCTTGTCAGGTTGCATGGCGTCTCATATTATGATATGGCTTCGTTCAGCGTTTGCTTGTCATATATATTGTTTCTGGGAGGTTGTGATGTCTTGAGTCTCTTTGAGGCGCCGCAGGAGCTATGAACAGGTAAGAAGTACTGCAGGGGTAAGCGCCGCAGGTGAGACTGTTCATGAATATCAAAACTGGGATGTTTTTGTGTTTCTACGTTCGTTGTTGGTGGTACTCTTCCCCCCCCCCCCCCCCCCCCCTTTTCAGAAAAAGAAGCCTCTGACAAGGTATGTAGGAATAGAAAAACATGGCAGTTTTTCACACACTTGAACTGTCATGCAAGTAGCAGAATGTGAAAATAATAACGCAAGTGAGCGGTGACAACACAAGGAAAGAGAATGGTTAAAGCATTGACTGTTAAGAATACATAACACCGTCGCAGCATAGGATAGGCCCTGTGACCTGACAAGGCATGAATTGGAAGGGAAGTCACTCTCTTTTTGCGTACCAAAACAATAATAGCATCAAAACTCCAGTCTCTAGATTGAGCTTGTGCATTTCAGGCCTGATGATGAAGAAGATGCAGAACACAAGGAGCTGCGGCAGCGCCTGAACCTAAAGCGAGCTGAAGACAAGGAGAGGATATTCCCAGGAGATACGGTACTCTCAAACAACAAGCTGAAGAAACGATTGAAGCATCCCCACAAAAAATTTAATGTGAGGCAGAAATTAAAGTTTGAAGCTTGTCAGCTTTGCCCAAACCCAAAGGTAAGCAACAGACCTACTTGATAAACAATATAAACATTACTAGGAAAAGATAAACAAAAAGATCATGTAATAATCATGGTCTGTCTTGAATTTCTCATGGGGAAATGTAGGCGTAATAAGAGATGCAAAGTAACAAAAGATATATGGTGTAATAAGAGGCACGGTGTAACCAGAAATATAAAGTATAACAAGAGAATATATGGTGTAAAAACATATGGTGTAATAAGAGACATGGTGTGACTAGATACAAATGCCACAACAGGAGACGTACAGTGTAACAACAGACACACTGTGTTAACAAGAGATGTATGGTGTAACAAAACACACACTGTGTTAACAAGAGATATACAGTGAAACAATAGACACACTGTGTTAACTAGAGACATACAATGAAACAATAGACACACTGTGTTAACAATAGACATACAGTAAAACAATAGACACACTGCGTTAACAAGAGACATATGGTGAAACAATAGACACACTGCGTTAACAAGAGACATATGGTGAAACAATAGACACACTGTGTTAACAAGAGACATACAGTGAAACAATAGACACACTGTGTTAACAAGAGACATACAGTGAAACAATAGACACACTGTGTTAACAAGAGACATACAGTGAAACAATAGACACACTGTGTTAGCAAGAGACATACAGTGAAACAATAGACACAATGTGTTAACAAGAGACATACAGTGAAACAAAAGACACACTGTGTTAACAAGAGACATACAGTGAAACAATAGACACACTGCATTAACAAGAGACATACAGTGAAACAATAGACACACTGCATTAATAAGAGACATACAGTGAAACAATAGACACACTGCATTAATAAGAGACATACAGTGAAACAATAGACACACTGCATTAATAAGAGACATACAGTGAAACAATAGACACACTGAGTTAACAAGAGACATATGGTGAAACAATAGACACACTGCTTTTACAAGAAATATACAGTGAAACAATAGACACACTGCGTTAACAAGAGACGTACGGTGTAACAAGAATCAGTGAGGGATATGTTTTTCTCTCCAGGGTTTGAAATGTGAGTACTGTCTCTGCAAGAGCTGCTGTAAGGCTAAAGCCAGTAAAGAACATCTCGCCTGCACAGGTAAGTGGATTTTTCTGTATAAGTAAATGCATGATCTTCCTTGGTTAGTGAGAAATTGTACGAGACAGATGGGTCTTGTCAAGATGTTGGTACACTTGCCATTTGCTGACACTTTCCCCTGTGTGGGTTCTGGGGCCCCTATTGGGAAAGGGGAGAGGGGAGAACTACTGTTCCTCCCTCCCCCACAGCAAAACCCTGTCCTAAAATTTCATCAGAGTCAGATGCATCTACCTTAGACACAAGCAACCAACATTCTGCATACAATTAAGCCAGATCTCTACATTGGATTTGCATGTTAAACTTGAGCACTGGACGAGATAAAAGTACAGAAGTGGACAAACAACCAGAATTTACAGCTGGTGAACACTAAAAAGAAGAAGAAGAAATCATGGTCTTGATTTTAAATTCTGCTACATGATTACAAGACTAATGGGTCAGTTCGCTGGGCAGGATGTAACCCTTGGCTTCCAGAGGGCTTGTTACACATACTAAAACCCCTCAGCATTTGAAAGTAGCAAATTAAAATAGGATGAACAGCACACTGTCTAGGCAAGACAAGATGAAATAGAAAACCAACCTATCTCAGTAATATTTCAGCATTGTGCTTCTGAAATTCTGGAACCTTCTTGTGTGCTGCAGAGTTTGTCTTTAGAAAAGAAAAGGGGAACAACTTATTGTGTACGTATGCAAAGAGAGTGATCCTGTTCAAACTCCAAACTATGTGAAATATTTTATATTCTTCAAGGACTGTCTCTTTGTTTTTCTTTTAATGCATCCATTGTACTGTTTGCATTTTTATGGAATTCCACGGAATTCTTAGGCAAAGAGAAAAAAGGAGCTAGATACAAAAGGGTGGCGGGTAGTGTAATAAAGTTAGTATTATCTCTGGTATATGTTGCCTTTTCAGGACATAACATCAAAAGAAAGAATGTTCAAGATAAGGAGAAAGTTGAAGCTCCTACAGAAGAAGCAACTATTGAAGACAAGAGGCTATGTACGGTTGGAAAGCTTGACTCTCCAGGCTGCCAAGATCCTCAAGCACTTCAGCCTTCTTGTGATATTTCAGTAACTAGCTTGAATGAGAGTAAAATATTAGCTAGTGAAACTTCATGTGTAACAAATGGAGCACATCACCAGCCCAGCGATACTCTGTGATAATAGTTTTCTGTCATAGGCAGTGTATTGTACCCTGTGAGACATGTTGTCTGTTAAGTTTTCTGTCATAGGCAGTGTATTGTACCCTGTGAGACATGTTGTCTGTTAAGTTTTCTGTCATAGGCAGTGTATTGTACCCTGTGAGACATGTTGTCTGTTAAGTTTTCTGTCAGAGGCAGTGTATTGTACCCTGTGAGACATGTTGTCTGTTAAGTTTTCTGTCATAGGCAGTGTATTGTACCCTGTGAGACATGTTGTCTGTTAAGTTTTCTGTCATAGGCAGTGTATTGTACCCTGTGAGACATGTTGTCTGTTAAGTTTTCTGTCAGAGGCAGTGTATTGTACCCTGTGAGACATGTTGTCTGTTCTGTCATAGGCAGTGTATTGTACCCTGTGAGACATGTTGTCTGTTGAAAGTTTTCTGTCATAGGCAGTGTATTGTACCCTGTGAGACATGTTGTCTGTTAAGTTTTCTGTCATAGGCAGTGTATTGTACCCTGTGAGACATGTTGTCTGTTAATAGTTTTCAGTGCTGGACTCAATATGTCTTGGTGAATATATTTGTTGATGGTGTTGAGTCATCATCATCATCATCATCAGTTTCCACTTCTGCTGTTGTAGGGAGGAACAGTTTGGAATCCATTGCTTGAAGGGCAGCAGTGGCTACTGTCATTCCGTGTCGATGTAGAAGCTCTTTAATGTCATCAATCCATTTTCTTCTAGAGTAGCCTCTTGCCTTCACTTCAGATCTTTTCGTGTAGCACCTGCGTTGATAGTTGTTCTGGCTGTGTTCTTATTGAATGACCAAACCATTTGATCTTCTGTTTCTCAGTTTATTTACTGCATATTGCTGTTCCTACAGTCTGTCTGATAATTTCTAACTTTCTCTTGGTTGGTTAAGTCTGGCTCTGGTCTGTCTGATAATTTCTAACTTTCTCTTGGTTGGTTAAGTCTGGCTCTGGTCTGTCTGATAATTTCTTTCTCTTGGTTGGTTAAGTCTGGCTCTGGTCTGTCTGATAATTTCTTTTTCTTGCTTGGTTAAGTCTGGGTCTGTCTGATAATTTCTAACTTTCTCTTGGTTGGTTAAGTCTGGCTCTGGTCTGTCTGATAATTTCTAACTTTCTCTTGGTTGGTTAAGTCTGGCTCTGGTCTGTCTGATAATTTCTAACTTTCTCTTGGTTGGTTGAGTCTGGCTCTGGTAGCACAGTGTTGGTATGAATATACTGTTTCTTGGCGCTCTACTTATGTTTGGATGCCTTCATAACAGTGTCATTTGGTATACAATCTCACTGGCTCATTGGTGTAATGATGGACATTTCCACAGGGGTTTTCTAATCAACTGATCAGACTAAATATAGGTTGAGAGAACACTTGAGAACATAAAGACTCATATCTGAAGAATGCTCAGGGGGCAGCATGAGGGACCCAGAAATGGGGTTGAAAGATTAGACAAAGTTCTCTTCAGTGTGTAATTTGCAGCCAAAGTGAGAGGTTGTGTTTGAGAGAGCGTGAATGCGACATGGTATAATTGGACAATGTGGAGGAGATTGAATTTTACAAGATGACCGCCTAGCCAGAATCCTAACAAGTCGACACCCAACCTGACAGTGGAGCTAAACCGCCAGTGGTCGGAGATGCTTGCTCAGTGCCTGTGCGTGCAGCATGATTGATACATAAGGACTGCAAGGTAACGAACGTGCATGACTGAGAACAGTGGTTATGAACTTTATTATTGTTACCATCTGAATATTTGAACTTGCTAGAGAGTAGCGGACGGTGACTTGACCGGATTGTCTTCTGAGATTTAATAAATTATATCAACTGCGATTGTGTCTGCTCAATACAATCTGTGTGCATCAACTCGTCATGTGTGTCAGAAATACTATAACCCCTAGCAAACATCCAGCAAATGAGAAGACATCACAGTTGGCATCTTGATTCTATTTCCTGATCTATTTGAGTGTGAATCCAATATTGTGTCTTGTGAATATGTTAATAGTTTTGAGTGTTGAACCCAGTATTGTGTATTCTGAGTATATTTGTTGTGTGCAAAATCACTAGAGATTATACATAGTTAATGAAGCCAGGGCTTTGTGAAGCATGGGGTACACATAGGCATGTTGTGTTGACAGGTTGGGATTGTAAACATGTGGGGGCCACCGGAAGAGATTCGAGCAGAAACCACTGAGGGAAAACATGAGTCACTTAAAGTTCATGATAAACTGCAGGACATCAAGGATATAGTGGAATTCATGTGGATAGACAGCACGAATGGGTTGTGAACACCAAATGTTAGCGAGAATGTGAGATTCTTGTGGAATTGACCGTGGCCGGGAAAAGTCCTTTAGTAGTTTGAGTCAGTCAGCCGATTTCATCAAAGTATAGATGTGTGTGCGTAAATGGTTCAAATCCAGTAGATGCATGGACTGTTATGTGACAGTTTTGGCTGTTTTATTCTGTGGAGTTCTTGTGAACTATCAGGATGATTGTGGTAGGTCATGAGAGGGACATCAGAATTCTCTCTGGGTGATTTTCTAGAATGGACTTGGGTTGGCCATGTGCGTGGGGTCAGCACAGTTGTGGCTATGTGGCACACTGGTTGGGGTTCCTTCAGTACACAGAAGGTGCTGGGGAACTTTGTGGATGTTGTTGACCTGTGTGGAATTGTGATAGGGAAGTATCAGAGGCTGATAAACGGGTTGTTAGTAATACTTTAATGGGTGGCTGGGTAGCAGACCTCACGTCCGGAGTCATTTAACAAGTGGTGCATCTACCTTGAGTCCTTGTGTGGTGGGGTCTTTGAGAGGAAAAACCATCAGCGGATTATCACTGAACATCACACAGGTGTATCTGCACGATCGGTGAGTCATCCGCAGCAGGCACCTGGGACATAGTTTGCTGGGGTGTAATGTCCATGTCTGGAGAGACTGCCCATGTGATTATTTGGAAGGCAGTAATAGACTTGACATTGAGTCATTGGTCACCAATTCATCTCCGTTGCAATGTGTTTCTTCATAATAAAGAGACTGATCACACTATAAGATTGTATTTGGCGTGATGTCGTATATTACAGTGCTCATAGACCACGTTGGTGTTTAGGATAGGACATGCTTGCATGGGAGTCACCATAGCCGAGCGGCTAGACGCTCGCCACGGATCAGAATGTCGTGGGTTCGTTCCCTGGCGGAGCTAGACTTTTTTCAAAAATGACCTTGGCTCCCAGGTCGACCCAGCCTTGAGTGGGTACCGGGTGCAGTCCCGGGAAAGTAAAGGCAGCCGGCGTGGTGCTGACCACATCACCCATCTTGTGCCGACTGGTCTATAAAAATATAGGTCTAGCCCTATATGCCCTATACGCCTAAAGGTGTGGAAAGGGTCCTTTACTTACTTTACATGCTAGCCTATTAGATGTGCCTGGTTTATAGTGGTGCTCTTGTTTGGGTTGGTCATCCTCTACTCCAGTTATAATCACCATCAGCATGTGCCATGCCAATGAGAGTTGGCAGACATGGTAAGAGACTAAAGGGAATCCAGTGTGAGGACTGATATTTGTAAACAAGTTCACCAAAAAACTTCGCCAGCGTGCTGTACCCAATATTGTGTCTTGTAAATCTATTAGACAGTTGATAGTATTGAGTCTTGAGTCCTGTATTGTTTGTGATGTAATGACCAGTGAAAACAAAATGTAAGTAAAATATGAAATATCAGATCATGGAAAACAAATTTAAACAAAAATTGTCAGAAAGTTTTCAGTTACTGGGGATATTGTTGGTAGCAGTATGTATGTGTCTGTATTTACATATCTACCATATTTTTCAATGAATAAGAAAACCCACATTTTTAACCTGAAATTAAGACATACAAATTTAAATCAAATTTTGTATATATTGACCCCCGGTTTTAAATTTAACAAATTTGGGGGGAAATATACACAGAAAAATATGAATACTTATGTGTATATAATTGTCTCAAGCCATCCTCATGTTGCATCTTATGACATGCATGGTAGGTTGTACCATAGTGTAGTACTACTGTTTATTGCTTCCTGTAACAAATGGGTGGTGCATGCTCTGGAGCTGTCTCAGCTTCTACAGACTGTCTGTAAACAGGTAGAAGGATGGTTGCATGCACTTATTTGGTGAAGAAAGGTTCTTGGCATCTGAAACCTCAGTGACACAATCAACACTGGGAGTTAACAGCAAAGGACCTTGATCGTGCCCGAGGAACATCAGCTATTTAATGCTAGCACTGTGTTTATTATACATCAGTTAGCACTAGATGGGTAATGTGGTCAACATAACACCAGCCACAATTACCTGTCATGAACTTCCAGTCAATATGGAGGATAGACAGGTATACTGTTTTAGTCATGGCAACTTTTTTTTTGCTTCTGACAATAGCTGCATATTTCTTCACTTGTAGACTGAGATGATATATTTCTGTTGCCCAGCAAATGAGCTGGGTGCATGTTGTGACACTGTGAGCTGCAGATTTCTCTTGGACTGTACCCAGCATGGTTTATGTTGTAAACTGCAGATTAAGAAATTTGCTTGTTGCCAGAGAACGTGTCTGCTTTTTGTGATCTGTTGTATGTGCAGCTTCTGATCCATGGGCGGTGAACTGCATTTCTAGTGTCTGACTGTTTGTATACACTTCTAACACTGCCTAATGTTTCCAATGTATGTGCATTTGCTGAGACTGCAGTCTGTGTCATTGTGTGTGTGAGACACGGGAGAGTGATAAAAATTATGTATGGGTTTTGTTGGTGCAAGAATGGAGCAACTGTGGAGTGACCCATTTGCTGTGAAGTTTGAACTGTGATTACCAGATTCTGATGACTTCTTTTGACATTTCCTGGCATCCATTGTGGGCGGGGTCGGCCTAACAACCCAGGATCTGCTTGCTGATTCAAACTCAAACCATAGAGCCAGAATGTGATCGTGCTAGCCACTGCACTACCATGACTCCCAGGGCACCTTTACAGTGACACAGTATATGTG